GAAATGCTGCTCCATGAGTTAAGGTCTGGTGATTGCCTTGGCCAGTCTAAAACCTTTCACTGTTTTCTTCTGATAAAGCCCTTTATTGTGGTACCAGTGTGTTTTGGATCATTGTCTTGCTGCATGATGATGTTCCTCTTGATTAGATTGGATCCATTTCTCTGTAAATTGGCAGACAGAATGTTTCTGTAGATTGAATTCATTCTGCTACTGCCATCATTAGCTACATCATCAATATAGAGGAGTAAGCCTGTTCCAGAGGCAGCCATGCAAGCCCAAGTCATGACACTACCTCCACCGTGCTTGACCGATGAGCTCATATGTTTTGGCTCATGAGCAGATCCTTTCTTTCTCCACACTTTGGACTTTACATCACTTTGGCAGGAGTTAGTCTTGGTCTCATTAGTCCAAAAATTTCTATTCCCGAACTTCTGTGGTTCATCTCTGTATTTCTTCATGAGTTTCAACCTGGTCGTCCAATTCTTACTGCTGATGACTGGTTTGCATCTTGTGGTATAGCCTCTATTTTTCTGAAGTGAACTGTGATCGCTTGACCCCTGCCCTGTGGAGGCTTTTGGTGTTGTCGCTGACGGCTCTCTGGTCTTCATGTTGTTTTATCCTTTTTAACAGCAAATGTAGTCATCAGACATTCAGAGCTAATTGTTCAAAAAAATTAATCTAACAGGGCACATCTGGGCAACAAGAAACACTGGTCAACCATAGGTTTTAATATTTTTGCTTACTTGAAAAATGAGTTCAAACCAAAGATGTCACATTGTAAGTTAACACCTCAAGCTGTAAATATCAGGCAATAAAAGCTAAAGCTATAATCTATTGTTTTATATTCATCACTTGGATGATTGTGATGTAATTTGTTGATTCCTAAACTCTCAGTTGTTAAAGCCCACGAAAATCAACATTGTTAGAATTTTAAAATGCATTCATTTCATGCAAAAACTAAGTGTGAATTGATTGTTTTAGTTACTAATAATGATCATTTACATATATAAACATTTTGCTCCTATTGTTAAAAAATAAAAGTCATATCATATATGATTTGAAAAAGTGAAACCCACTTTACTGCTCATGAGAGTCTTTTCATGCTTCATTGCTCTTCTGTTCCATGTTAGTTAGAATATTAGTTAACACTAATTTGAGCTAATTTCTGCCAGTAAAAAAGCAAAATGAATTCTACAGATTTGACTTAATTAAAAAATGTGAGCTGTTGCATCAATCATGTGATATACACTATATTGCCAAAAGTATTTGCTTATTTGCCTTCAAGTGACATCCCATTCTTAATCCATAGGGTTTAATATGATGTCGGCCCACCCTTTGCAGCTATAACAATTTCAAATCTTCTGGGAAGGCTTTCCACAAGGTTAAGGAAGTGTGTTTATGGGAATTTTTGACCATCCCAAACTGTTCCCACAAAGTTGGGAGCATGAAATTGTCCAAAATCTCTTTGTCTGCTGAAGCATTAAGAGTTCCTTTCACTAGAACTAAGGGGCCGAGCCCAACTCCTGAAAAACAACCCCACACCATAATCCCCCCTCCACCAAACTTTACACTTGGCACAATGCAGTCAGATAAGTACCGTCTCCTGGCATCCGCCAAACCCAGACTCGTCCATCGGATTGCCAGACGGGGGAGCGTGATTCGTCACTCCAGAGAACACGTCTCCACTGCTCTAGAGTCCAGTGGCGGCGCTAACCCATTCCATGAAGCTCTCTACGCACTGTTCTTGAGCCAATCTGAAGGCCACATGAAGTTTGGAGGTCTGTAGCGATTGACTCTGCAGAAAGTTGGCAACCTCTGCGCACTATGCGCCTCAGCATCCGCTGAGCCCGCTCTGTCATTTTACGTAGCCGACCACTTCGTGGCTGAGTTGCTGTCGTTCCCAATCACTTCCACTTTGTTATAATACCACTGACAGTTGACTGTGGAATAATTAGTAGTGAGGAAATTTCATGACTGGACTTGTTGCACAGGTGGTATCCTATCACAGTACCCCACTGGAATTCACTGAGCTCCTGAGAGCGACCCATTCTTTCACTAATGTTTGTAGAAGCAGTCTGCATGCCTGGGTGCTTGGTTTTATACACCTGTGGCCATGGAAATGATTGGAACACCTGAATTCAATGATTTGGGTGGGTGACTGAATACTTTTGGAAAATTATGTATTCAACATTCAGAAAAGCCAATTTTGACAAAGTGTGACAAGTTTGTCTGTTTTTTAAATGTAATCCTTATCCTTTTTTGCTTTTTTCTGATTATGCAACGCTGTTACGTGTTGCATAACTACATCACCCAGCATGGCCGTCTGAATAGTCAGTGAGAACAGTGTTTATATAAAATAGAAAGTCATTTAAAAAAAAATCTACATTAAATATGTAATAAAGTTGTAGTTTATTATGTTTTGTGATATGACAGCATGTCTGTAGTGACAAATCCTTCTGTCTGCAGGTGACTCATTGGGATACAACAACGGACAAAAGTTCTCCACCTTTGATAATGACCAGGATTCTCAACAGGATCGAAACTGTGCTAAAACCTTCCTTGGAGCGTTTTGGTACAATACTTGCCACGCTACTAACCCCAACGGTATTTATCTGTGGGGAAAGGGATGGCACAATTTATGCTGTTGGAAATGTGTGGTACAACTGGAAAGGCTTTGATTATGGTCTGAAGTCCATCAGTATGAAGATCAGGCCTGTGTCTTAGACCCATATGACGGGTTTCTCTTGCTTAAAATGAGAGATGCAGAATCTGAGAAGATAGATTTTTATTTGTTTTTTTTCTTTTTAGCATGTAATCATTACAGACAGACACAAAGTTGAAATATTTTATTAGAAGAAAGCTGTCTATTATTCAAATCTGTGCATGCATTATTCAACACGTCAATTGTAATAAAAGTTGCTGTAGTACAGGAAATAAATTTTGCCTTATTTCTTAAAACCAAAGTGGTTTTTATCAAAAGCATTAATCAATAAGCATTTACTAAACTAAGATGTGATGATGATGATAAATGGAGTTACAAATAGTAAACAGTTAACTAGCCAGTTTGCTAGTATCTCAGAACCTGTGTTTCACAGCCTATATCTCAAAGATTTTGAGTAAGGGACCATTGCTGAATCCAAATTGATGTAGTCCTCACTAAAGGAGGCAGTAGGGGTGCATAGAAGGCACTTGTGAGCACCCGCTTGAATCCCAAAGTTAGAAATGAGAAAGCTGAGGGCTTTTTGATCCTCACAAGCAAACACAAATGAGGACAATGTTACAAATGTGACAGTTTAGCTTACTCATTTGTCCCTAAGTTCACTCTTTTGGTTTTCTATACCAGTGTGCAGGTTCATGCGCTTTCTGGCAAGTGTCCAAGTGTGTCACATTTCCCAAACATGCTAAACACAGTGTGCAAAACCACTTTAAACTCACACTTTCCCAAAGACCTCATCAAAGTGCTATCGAGTTAACTTATGCTCCAGGGTATATTTTGGTTTGTCTATCTGAATTTACCTGACCAAATCTTAAGGCAAACTATTCTGTAACTGCATGAAATAAATGCAAATTTTCATTTTATTTATTTATTTTTTGTAAAAGCTCCCCTCAAATGAACAGAACATGTGTTTTATGATCACACATATTGCTATATGCTTATAATTTACTGCTGAAAGCCAAAAATCTTTGACGCTCTTTGTATTATTTTATAAAAATAATTTTTATAGAGCAGATCACTGAAAAGACGCCATCTGTTTATAGTTTCTAGCCCAGATTTGTGGAAAAATGGTTCGACTTTCAGTAGACAAAAAAACTGTGAGTTCAGCTTCTTTTATTATATGGGTTTAAAATTACATCACCCATCTATTTGACTGGAAAGAAGACAGTTACAGCTCTCAAACGACACCCACCAAGACGAAGAGCGTTTTGGAACAACCGGTGGTAACAAGGAGTTTAAGAGGCTATGTTTGTATCTCATAGTTTGATGTATTGATGGTGTTCTAACATACTATTTCATAAATATCAGGTAAGAATACAAACATCACAAGAACATCAGTGACTGTCTGACAAAGATACTATGCATATCTTAACAAGAGTGTTACATAAGATCTGATTTTCAATATTTCAATATCTCAGGCAAAGAACTACAACGTGCTTAGCTATATTCTTAATTTTAGACCCCTGTTAGCAATGGGTGTGGCTGAAACACCCAATCTCAATAATTAGTATTTTTGGCCATGTTGCAGAAATAGTTTATCTTTTTTAACATTTTCTTGTCAGAAAGTGGACAGTGAACACATTCATGTGTGACAACAAGAGCAGCCTTGGACACACCCACAGGAGAAAAACTTAAGGCAAAATTGTCTCTCATATTGTGAACTTATAGTAAATCTGCTAAATATTAAATGCCAGATGCCACTACATTAAATCATTTGAGTTTAAATTTACATAAATCCAAACTAAAACAGTTACTCTAAGTACAAACTATAGTATATTTATAATGTTTGTACAAGTTTAGAGGTGAATTTGCACTTGGCACTCTTTGACACCAATGAATAATTTGTATCTTTTGTCCAGAGAATTGCATTTAAATGTAAAAGACTAGCAGGGATGTTAAAGAAATTCCATACAAAATAACTGAATTAGTTTTTTGTGTGCACATTACATGATTGTAACATCTGTTGTGTGTGTGTAGATGTTAAATCCAACGCCGGGCAATGTAATGACTTAATTCTGGTCAGTTTATCTGCAGATAAGTCCTTCCCTCCTGATTCTGTCACTGTGCTTCATTGTCCAGACCTGCTGCGATGTTGCAATCACTGAGCAGATATTTAGCAAGAGTGGAGAAGTTCCAAGTTTCTGGTAAATGAGCAAGTGTGTTTAGTTAAGGCTGTAAAGATCCTGAAGATCACACAATTCTAAGCATAAATCAAATAAACCCCAACCTTGCAGCATTTCGGAAATTCCTTTAAGGAATTTTCATGCTGAGTCATGAGTGTTCTGGTTAGGAGGGATTTGAGGGTCCAGCAGGGTTTAAAAGCATGTGAGTATGAGCACTTGTTTACTGAGAAAAGAGTAACCTTACAAGTAAGTCCCATTTTATGTCTTGTACTGACCCTTTTCTGCTGTTCTGTCATTCTAAAGGTGGTTCTAGACCTAAATGTGCCTCTCACAGAGTAACAGGACTTACAGACAGCCTCATTTACCTTTGAAAAGTATTTCTTGTGAGAGATATGTACTCTTTCGTACCACAAATGCATTTAAGAGCATGGTGGACAAAATGAAAATAACAGGTCTAAGTGTTATCTTTAGTGATGCAACGAAAATTCGCAGAAAAACAAAAAAGGAAGACCAAAAATAAAAGCAGTTTTCATAAAAATAATGTTGAAATGATTACAGTATGTAGCTTTAATATGTGCCATGACATCCAGCAACCTTGACAGCAGAGAACGGTTAGTTTAAAAAATGAATTCATTCAGTTTTTAGTTATTCTTTGCACTTTAAATCACAGGTCTGATATTCCTCATAAAAACAGTTAGAATAGAAACAGCTACATTCTGCTGATGTTTTTACTGTTAATCTGAATGGCACAAGAGAGCAAAGAAAGAAACAGCATTTTTATCAATATTTCTCATTTTCATTACCATTAATATTAATTTGTGAAGTCTTAGATTTTTACACCTCACTGTAGTCTTATTTAATATTTGCTTTTTTCTTTTTCTTTTTGTAAATATTTGTCCTTTTTTCACTTTTAGCCAAAAATACAATTTGTTACCATTTTCAGCTGGTGTATTTCTAGCAATGTTGAAGTTGAATGGACAATCACATTTGTATAAAATGACTGTTTGACTGCTGTCTAATATCTAATCTCTGCTTCAGAATCAAGCTGTGTTTTTTTTTTTTTTGAAAGGCTGGTGGACACAAAAATGACAGTAAGTGTTATTGTGGTATCATCTTGAATGTTGTGTATTCTAATCTATACATTCTAAACTTGAAGTGAGTTTAAGTTTTCTGTGTTTGTAAACTGTCATTTGTTTATTGTAGGTGCTCTTGTGTACTGAAACATGCTTAAAACTAATATCTCTAAAATCTACAACTGTCTACTTTAGTCTTTAATCAAAAAACGCTTGTTTCAGTTTTTTGCTCGTTAACTGTACCATATTTTCTTTTATGTATACATTAGTTTTTCATAGTTTTTACTTTATTTTGTCTGTCTGCTCTCCAGGTCGGAGTGTTTCTGGCTCTAGTGCTCCCCCTGCTGGTTGGGAGCACCTCAGTTTCTCAGGAACTGTTCCCGACAGACTGCTCTGATGTCTACACTAACGGACAAACACTGAGTGGAGTTTACACCATCTACCCTGCAGGTGACACACCTGTACAGGTGTACTGTGACATGGGCTGTGAGGGACAAACAGAGGATGGAAAGTGGACGGTATGTTAGACTGTATTTCTCTATTAAACAGTATTGAGGTCAATTTACATCTGTAGGAAATATTGATTATTAGCAACATTAGTATTAGTGAACTAGTGAACGGCATGTGGTTATGTCCATGAAAAAGATAGCTGAATATAAAAAATACATCCACTATGTACATAATTCTTTACATTTAAAATAAAAATCTTAATAAGTTCTGTAAGAAGTCTTCAGTCTACTTTACAGTGCGTATGACTGCCTTTATTCCAAAAAATAAATGGATGTTGTATTTACACCAGGTGATTCAGAGGAGAATGGATGGCAGTGTGAACTTCTACAGACCATGGGAGCAGTACAAGAAAGGATTTGGGAACAAAAATGGAGAATACTGGCTGGGTGAGAATTCATTACCTATCACAAACACAGTGTAGTAAAACTGTAGTGAAAAAAGTAAAATGTGGCAGTGTAATTACAAGTAAGAAAAAGTGTGAAGCATGAATAAATTGTTGTAGTTTAACTCATTAATACTCATATTTGAATGCTCTTGAATTAATGAATTAGATAAAAAAGTAGTTTTTTTCATAACTTAAGAAAGGTGTAGGCAATCCAAATTATTATCCTTAATTATGAGTAAAAGTATGAAAATTACATTATATCAAAACAGTCAATTAAAATTCTGTAAGATTTTTAAAGTATAACAATTCACCAGACCACTCAGATTCAGAGGACATTCTGTGGCTTTTCTCCTGATTATACTAAGCTTTGTTTGCGTAAGCTAAGCTGTCTTTTAGTTTCTTACTGATTAAAATAATAGAACTGAATAAGGTTTTTATGGAAATAAATATTAGAGTGCAAGTTTACAATCTCATAGGTTGCAGGGAAAAAAAAGTTTTTTATAGCATCAAATTAGAGGTTTGTTAAATGTTGCATGTTTCATTTGGCACTTTAGACACAGGAAACACTGTATCAGTTAAAAGTCATCTGTTTTTTATTTATACTGAAAACAACTGTATGAACACATTGCGCCTCCAGGATTGGAGAACCTCTACCAGCTCACCCGCAAGAGGAAGTATGAGCTGAAAGTTGACCTGCAGGACTTTGAAGGAGTGAAGGTTTACGCCCAGTACTCTACTTTCTCTGTGGAATCTGAAGTTGACGGCTACAAACTCCATGTTGGTGGATTCATTAATGGAGGAGCAGGTGAGAAAAAACAAAAAATAAAAAATAAAAACTAAATGTATTATTTATATTGCTGGTGGCAAATAAAGTAATTATGAACAGTAAAATACAATAAAATAAGTTAATCTCTAAGTTGTTGATGTTTAAGTAGTTGGAAAGGAGGGTCAAATGAAATTATAGACTAACATATGTTCTAGAACTCTTTTGAGATGATTTAGCCATAATTAACAAAACTGATCCACAAATATCAATGATGTAAACGATTGGCAAACATAAAACAAGGGTTAACAAAATCTTTCAAATTTTGGCTCAACTGATACGTAAAACTGAGTATCATCAGCATAAAAATAAAAGGTAGCATTGTATTTATGGATTATGTATCTTAAAGGCTATGAATAAAATGAAGCAGAGTAAAGGCCCTAAAACAGAGCCTTGTGGGTCACCATATTGCAATCTTCTATGTTCAGAAACTGCCTATTTGATACCTATAAAAGCAGGTATGTTTTTACTTTAAGTCAAGTAAAAATACAGATAGAACATATTTACTTCTACTCAGTATTTCAGTAAGAGTATCTCTACTTTCACGCAAGTACAGAAGTTGTGTACCTTGTCCATCACTGGTCAAAAATATGTCGTAAAGTCGTTGTTCGCAATGTAGTACTGATATATTCTCCTGTCTCTAGGTGACTCTTTGGAGACAAACAATGGACAGAAGTTCTCCACCTTTGACAAAGACCAGGATGCTAATAAGGATGGTAACTGTGCTAAATCCTACCTCGGAGGGTTTTGGTACAGTGCTTGCCACCACGCTAACCCCAACGGTATCTATCTGTGGGGAAAGGATGGTACCTTTTATGCTATTGGAAATGTGTGGTATCACTGGAAAGGCTATGATTATGGTCTCAAGTTCATCAGTATGAAGATCAGGCCTGTGCCTGAGACTCAGTGACAGGTTATTCTTGCTTCAAGTAGAAGAGATCTGTCAGTCTGAAAGTAGGAATGATGATACATTGAGCCATCCTTTGTTGTTTTGTTTTGCTTTTTAAAAATTTTATATTTGTACATACACACAAAATGTTTAATTACTGTGCATTTCATATTAGGTATATAAAGTTGTTGTACAATAAATAAATAGTTGACATTATTAAAAGGTTAGATGAAAATATATGTATATGCTTTACATGACGACTTCAATTCTAAAACCCTCATAGTGAAAGATGACTAAGATCTGAAAGTATTTTTTGATGCAGAATTCTCAAGAAACTGGTTTGTCAAGTAAACTCAAATTTATTTATATAGTGCTTTTCACAACAGGTGTTGTCACAAAGTATCTTTACAGAAAATCTGGGTTTGAGCCCCCATGAGCGCCGCCAATGGCAACAGCGACAGGAAAAAGTCCCTAAGAGCAAGAGGAAGAAACTTTGAGAAGAGCCAAGACTCAAAAGGGGAACCCATTCTCCTCTGGATACCAAATAGCATAACAATAACACAAGAACAAAATGAACAGAAGATATGTTTTTTACAATTAATATATTAAATATATTAATTATATTAATATAATTAATTTTGACAAATAATTATATTAATATAAATCTAAATGTTGAATATAAAGAAAAGAAAAGAAAAAAGAAACCAGCATTGGACAGAACTATTTAGATTAACAAATTATAGCCAAAGACTGCAGTTCATGCTTGTAACTCACACGCTCACTTATGTTTACTCACTCATACCAGTTGAAGGTTCTCCAGAAGGGGGCACTAACACTTGAATTGTTTTAGGTACTTCAAGGGAGTATTGCTCCACATCAGTGACCCTGTGTCCTTTTTAAATGCTTTTTAAATGGCACACAAAAAATGAAAATTATTATTTAGTACAGCAGTAAAAGTCATAATAATGTTGGATCAGGAATAGAAAAATATCTTGATTTATTTTGTTAAAAGATTTAAACAAACATGTTGAACATTATAATAAATCAAATTATTAGATCTTATAAATAATGTTTTAAAACCCAAGAGGCCAACTTGCATGCCTGCCTTTTGATGGAAGACCCAAGCCTCCTGTTTTTTTCCCCTGGATTGCATTTTTTTGTTTTATGTAATTGACAAAAAAAGGATGACTAATGTTGTCACTACTTGAACAATGACTCACATTCAACATAGCATTCTTTACCACTGAGATAAATGGCTATTCATCAGTTTGACATACTTTTAATGACAAAATCACATCTTGTTCTAAGCAATTTATCAGTTCTGAATTAATGACTCACTAGCCTGACACACTAGCATGTGTATACAAGCCAAGTTTTAACTGACAATGAAATATTTATACATTTCCACAATACTTTCCTAACTTTAGTTTGGATCAAGCAGAATGACAGAATGCATCTTTTTGTGAAAATTAATAATCTGTTGATTTTTAAATTGAAAAGAAGTAATCCTCTGCAGCAAACTATTAAAAAAATTATTATGGCATGTGCATGGGCTTGTTTGGACACCTTTTCAGGAACTTCAGAAATTAGGTTGTTAGGCCTTATTTGATTCTGTCTCATCCACAATCACTACTAAGTCACTAAGGGCAAAGTTTCTTTGTATCCGTTGCCACTTTCACCTGCATTAGTAGAAGGGATTTCTTTACCTAATGCTTCCAGAAAAGATCAACAATATAATGAACTTTTGAAATTTTTTGCATGAGTGTGAAACTTTTTCATGGAATAAACCAGGAGCCATGTCTGGCTGGCCTTTCATCAAGAGTAGATAGTTCGGTGTAAGTAGTTGAAATGGCTGGGAGTCATTAGATACTGTTGAAAGTAGTCAGTCATTCATGACTGATTCCACTTCGCACATGAAGGTTTGGAGTCCTTTCTTTAGTTACTTAGTGCAGTAGCAGTTGTACAGTAGCCCCAGTACCAAGTTTATTGTTTGTGTAAACCTCATGTGCGTCAATTCAATGTAAGTTACTTTCCTTAATGAGAGGCTTTCTGTAATCTACATCATCAGTTGTCACGCATTCCTCCAGCAAGTATTTCAATTCCCAGAACCCCTCAGATGATCACATGACCCTGTCTCCTCACCGCACAACTTATCCAAGATCAGCCTCACCTGATTACTGAGTATTTTCACCTGTTCTGTGTATCATGTGGTTTGTTTAGTTAGCCTTTTAAGTCCGGGCTTTAGCTTAGACATTTTGCAAGGTATTGCTTCTGTCCTTGGACATGCTGAGTGTTTCCTTCTGATCACCGTGGGTTTAACTTTTGGCTTGTTTATTCTGAATCAGTCTTCTTGCCTGATCCTGTGGACTTATGACTGTGATCTTCTGGTTTTGCATTGCTTTGGATGTGACCTTGGACTGTTGTGACAACAATTTCAGAGCTCCCTCAAACTAGTAAAGCCTCATCAGTTTTTTTTAAAACCGCACGCGTCTGTCTCATTCTGTCATGTTACATAATTGTCTGTTTACTAGTGACCAGCATTGCATACGTCTAAGTTAACAAACAGTGCTTGTATAAAGCAGCATTTTTACTTATTGTTCAACTGTTTGTGCAAATTTATTCACCTGTATAATTTGGTTGCCCTTACCTTTCTTAGTATCTTCTGCAGAATGTGCAGACCTTGATAATATATTTCTTGCCATAGAATTTGTGCAAGCTAGCCAGTAACATTCTCTCAGCTTAGAAAGCATGTAGTTTCTTCCAGAAGATCTAATACTGTGCATAGCTAATTCAGTATTTAGCTCTTTCAAAATCTTTAACAGCCAAAGTCTTTGTTGAGCTCCTTTGCTTCATGGATGTTATGATAGCAGGATCTTTCCTATTGCGTTTGGTCAATGGAATATCATTGAATGTTAACATCCAAGCTGCAGCTCTTTTCAGTTTGTTCCAATCAGTGTAGTGCTCCATTAGTCTGTGTAAAGGGTCTTGTTCTTTGGTTTTGACTGTGTAGGCATGGACAACTTTCAACCAAGTGTGAAGAAATGCAGAATATAGGCCAAAACTTTTCTTCTTTCCACAGATTCATTGAGATCCACTGTTCATTGAGAGAACCATTGTTTATTGGAATTCCACTGGAGTTCTTTAGGTTCTTAATATTTAGACCTCCTGTATATAACGTTTGCTGAGTTCTTTTTTGAACTGACATCTCCGTTGTGAGGATACTGTTGTGTTGTAGATGACCGAATCTCTGTTGGCCACATAGATTTTTAATCTGCTTGTGCCATTGTTGATGCATCTTAGTACTGTGACCCTGTCTGTCCACAGTGCTGATTCATCCAATTTCATTTGTAGTTCATCTTTAAGCATTCTATCTATGTGTGATGCGAGTGTGGTAGCTGCATATGAAAACCTAGAAAGAAGCAGTGTTAGAGATGGATTCACAGTCCTACTGTCATTCCTGGAAAAACAAGCAAAAATTTATTCCAGACATTTTGTGGTTAGGCAGGTGATGAATACAGCGGTGAACTGGATTAACTAACTATCCAAAATCAACACAGTCATAAAGTTGATTAAATGACTATCCAGGGATGAACACAGTCATAAACTAAATTAATTGACTATCCAGTACCAATACAGACCTGACATGAACTAGATTAACTAAGCATTCAGGGATCAATACAGTCATGAACTGGATTAATTCACTATCCAGGGATAAACAAAATCATGAACTAGATTCATTGACTATCCAGGGTTAATACAGTAATAAACGTAATTAACTGACTATCCAGGGTCAATATAATCATGGACTGGATTAACTATTGAGGATTAACACAGTCATGAACTTCATTAAAAGTGACAATCCAGGGATAAACACAGTCATGAACTGGATTAACTGCCTATCCAGGATCAATACAGTCATTAACTGGATTAAGTGATTATCCAGGGATCAATACAGTCAATAAGAGGATTAACAGGCTATCCAAGATCAAAACAGTTAGTTCAGTTATGAACTAGATTTATTGACTATATTATTATTGATTTATTGACAGGATCAGTACAGTAAGAAACTGGATCTACTGACTATCCAGGATCAATGCAGTCATGAACTGTATTAAATGACTATACACGATCAATACAGTCATTAACTGGATTACCTAACTCTCCAGGATCAATTCTGTCAGTAGTAGGATTAACTGGCTATCAAGGATTAATACAGTGGATAATATGATTAATTAATCTAAATATTGGATTAGCATAGTCATTAAAAGTATTACATTCAGGTTCCAGAAGAAATACAGCCATAAACAATGTAAAGTTGACTATCCAGGATCAGCAGGTACTGGCTATGATTGTGTTGTACAGAGTACTACTAAGTTTGCCAACATGCTATCTACATAAGCTTTAGTTAGCTCATAAGTCGATCAGTTAGGTATTTGTTAATGTTTTTAAACATACAACACTTTTCTTAGTTTTATCGTTTGATAAACATAACCTGACTAGCCAGATAGCCAGTAAGCAATGCTACTTGGTAAGATAACTGACTAGCCCATATGAGAGACTCAACATCATCTACCCACACACATCTGTCGAAGGATGAAATGTCCTTAGTAAAATTTTGTACCCATTTGTTTTATCCTAATTCATCTCAGTATGAAAGAAGCTCATAGACAGATTTCAAATAAAATTTAAGTTACTGAAGAAAAAACCTGCATTGGGTCCTCCAAAACAGGCGGGAACTCAATTTGTGGAAAGGATTTAAATGACTTACATCTTCAGACATTTGTTAAGTGCACTTTTTTCACTAAGGATTTCTGTAATGTGACTCTTGTTCCTTGCGATCAGTAGAAGTATTCAAACAGGTCATGTAGGCATTTTCAGTCCACTGAAAGAGAAATTTCCTCCCACTGGGAAATACCCGAGTTCAATTTCATCTCATTGGTGGGACGTATTTGCACATCCGACCAATCATTTTGGTCTGCACAGCGTACCGAGTTTCCCCATACAAATGTATTCTGGTGTCAATCAACTCGGGCCGAATTCTAAACATGACATCACTTCACTAGCCTTTAAAAAAGGCCAGTTACTACAAGGCACAACCAGATCACAGAGCAGTCGCACCCACATCACCAGAATCCGCTAGGAATAAACTGAACAGGAAGGTTTTATATATACACACACAGATACATAAATACATGTATAAATACATGTATTTCTTAAAATATTTATATACTTAATTATTAATGTTGAAAACACATTAATGCTGTGTTACTGATTTTATTTAATAAATCATTTCGACTATTTATTGTATTCTACTGAACAGAACAAGAAATCATTGTTCTCTTTACGATGGTGAGCAGCTCTATATTCTTTATATTGTGTACTGTATTACATACTGTTATTAGTTTTAACGCTACAGACCTGTTCTTGTTCTTTAGCAATAAGAACAAGCAAATAAGGTCAGCTTAGAGCTGCACTATGTACTTTTTTGGGTTAAAACTAAAGAATGTTCCCTCCTCTTGCAATTGTTATGGGTTTCCCTGTACTCTCCTGTGTGTGTGTATTTCTCTGTCCTCCCTTTCTCTAGGTGGAGCTCTATCCAGGCTGGAGGCTTCAGTGCTGTGGGAGAAGTACTTCCTGGGGAAAACCATAAAAGAAGTGGGAAAATGAAGAGAAGGGGAACCCACCTGGCTGTTGTTATTTTGTGCCCTGTGTGTGTTCTGAGTCTGTGGACTCCTTGGCTAACGTGCTGTGAATAATGTAAAGTGATTATAGAAAGACAACTACACAATGCTTGAAGGTGCTAGTGGGTTTGTTTCTTTTGTGTCACCACTGCTGGAAAGGGGTAAGCGCCATTTTGTTTTTAGACTTCTTTTTTTCTCCTGGTTTTAGGCTAGTTAGAGAGTCAGGGAAGTTAACTGTGTTTTCTTTGTTTTGGTTGAGGTTTAGGTAAGCCTTGCCCCCAGATTCATTATACCCTAGACCAACACGTAACAACTGGGGGCTCATCCTAACTTTTTTGCTCTTCTTGCCTTTTTCTGTGGGGAGTAGTGTGGTAATCATGGAGTTTAATTTAGAGAAGTTTGTCTTGTCTTTTCCATCAGTGGAGGCGTTGGGTAAATGTAGGAAGGCTGATTTGTTGATGGTAGCAGAGTTTTACAATGTGTCAGTGTCTCGCTCTACTGGGAAGGCTGAGATGAGAGATATTTTAATTAACAGATTACGTGAAGACCGGCGGTTGCCAGTGTCCCCTGATACAGGGAGTGCTGCTGTAGCAGAGGCTGCTGTGTTACATGGGGTGAGGGATGTTGGTGTTGCCACAGGTGGCCCTGGTGTTTCCTCAGGGGTGGAGGCTGCTGAGCATTCCCCAGGAACATCAGGCATAGATCCAGTTACTCCTCCACCTATTGAGAGCCATCTCATTCATTTGAGTGTGGCAATAAAGCTGAAGAAATTAAATCTTACCATTAAGCAGCAGGAGCGAGAGACACAGGAACTGCGGCTTTGTGCTCTGCAATTGGAGGCAGATCGAAGTTCCTCCACTGTACTCTGAGCATATGAGTTAGTGCCTGAGGCCTACCGGCAGCGGTATCGCTCTCACCAGAGGTTGAGGGACCAAACGTTTGTTGAGTTTGCTCAGGAAAAAACAGCCTTGTTTTAAAAATGGTGCACTGCTTATAAAGTAATTACTTTTACCCTGTTAAAAGAAATGATATTATTAGAAGATTTCAAAAACTGTTCCTGAAGTTATAGTTGGTTATTTGAATGAGAAGAAAGTGTCTGTCTTGAAAGATGAGTTTGTCCTGACACACAAAATTGTTTTCCCTTCTGTGAATACCTCTTCATCTCCTGTGGTTACTGTTAAGGACAGAAGAAGTCAGGGTGATTGGTCTCATGCATCTCGTACAGTTGAGAGATCACAGAGACAAGAAAAGTCCCCTTCCAGACCTGCTGCTGGGTCTTCCTCAAGCATTTCCAAGAAGGATGTATGTTTTTATTGTAGACATCCAGGACATCTGATTGCAGACTGTGCTGCCTGGAACAAGAAAAAAGACAAGCCTAAAAGCGTAGCTTGTATATGTGCCACCTCTGTTGGTGTTGCTGAGGCTGTACCAATACAGGAAAAGTATGATGTCTCATTCCAATCCTTTATATTGGATGGACATGTTTCCTTGTCCGAGACAGATGTTATGTGCCTGTTAAGATCCTGCATGATACAGGAACAGCACAATCTCTTTTCTTTCTAGTAAAGTGCTCGCTTTGGGTGAATCAACTTTATGTGGCTCCTATATGGTTGTGTGTGGGACTGATTTGACTCCTGTGAGTGTACCATTGTATTACATTCATTTGAGTTCTGAGTTGGTCAGGGGGAGGGTGCGAATAGCTCTACGAACTGAGTTACCTGTTGAAGGTGTGGACGTTATACTGGGTAATGACCTTGCTGGTGGTAAAGTATTCCCCATCCCTGAGGTTGTGTCTGACCCTGCTTTGAATGAGCCAGATGAACAACAGGAATTCCCTGCTGTTTTCCTTGGGTGTGTTACTACTCAATCCCGTGGGTCAAAGAAGGACGAACTAATTAACATAACAGACTTGTTTGTTACTGTTCCTAGCAAAGACACAGAGACCTCTGTTACTCCTGTTGACAGCTCTGGGTGTGAGGTGGGTCAGATTCCTACTGCCTGTTATGAGTTATCCCTTCCTGTAAGTCAGGCAGAATTAGCGGCTGTCCGGGAATCTGATCCTTCTCTCTCTAAATGCCGGTCTGCCGTGGTAGACCCAGCATAAGTTCATGCATCTCTTGTTGCTTACTATTTGCATGACAGTGTATGAGAAAATGAGAAATGAGAAAATGGCCACCATCTACAGGGTCAGCAGATTGGCAGTGTTTTTCGAGTTGTGGTACCAGAGCAGTACAGGCCTTATGTGTTATCTCTAACACATGATAATGTAATGGCCAGAACTTAAGGCTGATATGGTGAAAAACTGCAACTCCTGTCATGCATGCCAGCTTGCTGGAAAACCCAATCAGGGCATTCCACCTGCTCACCTACATCCAGTTCCTGCTATAGTTGAGCCTTTTGAACATTTGTTGTTGGACTGTGTTGGTAACCAGTATTTGCTTACTATTATGTGCATGTCTACTCGTATTCCTGATGGTTCCACTGCGAACCATCACTGTTAAATCTGCTGCTTGGACACTTATACGTTTCTGTTTTATTTTTGGGTTGCCTAAAACTATTTAAACCAATCAGGGAACCAACTTTACTGCCAAGCTATTTGCCCAAGTGCTACCACAACTGAATGTTGAGCATTGGACATCCTCAGCCTTTCACCCAGAATCTCAAGGAGCTCTTGAACGCTCCCACCAGACTTTAAAGACTCAGTTGCGCACCTTCTGTCTTGACACTGGGAAGGAGTGGGATAAAAATAGTAATAAATAAATCATTATTATAAATAGTAATAAATAAATCATTATTATAAATCACTAGGGTAGTTCACTATTAACAAAGCAACTACTGAATCTCACAGAGAATCACTTAGTAACTATGGTTTCTTAGAATAACTACTCATAAATTACCAATCAATTCAACGTTAATTGCTCAATAGCTGACTCTGACGAGGTTCCTACTGAACTACTAACTGATGTAGTGTATTCCAACACTTCTAACAGTAGTGAAGTACACTACACAGTGTGCAGTCTCTACAATATAATGGATTATATCATCCATTTCTAGTCACAGAAACAGGTATCCTCAGAGAAGCCTGGGGGCATCACACCACACTGTACTGACTGGTGTTCCTCATGTGTTTGTTTTGATTAGAAACCTTAAAAGGCTAATGCACACCTTCATATTTGGCAGTGTGAACCAATTTGCACATCAGGCTACAAATGGGACAACAGCTAAAACTACAGTATTCAGTCCTCTTGAGGGCAGGGTCAGTTGAAGAGAGGGCTCACAGAAATATCTGACTGTGTATGTGTCCTGCCTTCACATTCACTGGGTTCTACATATTACCAAGTGATTATGTATTTACTGTCTGTTAGATAATGAATGAGGTGTTGCTGTTCTTCATTTGGAGCTAATAATGATCAGCAACAATATAAAATGAAACAATGGCAAATCACTACATACCCAGCCATCACCATGTCTTGAGATGTCTTAAGACATGTCTAAAGACACGTTTTGAGGACGTCTTAGGACATCTTGAGGCATGTCTTAAGACATGAAGACATGTCTTTAAGACGTGTCTATAGACACGGATCTTAAGATGTCTTGGCAATAATAACATCTCAAGACGTCTCAAGATGTAGGATGTATAATATGTATTTTTAAATTTTACCTACATTTTTTTAAATAAATCTTTTACTTTTAAATAAGGGAATTTTAAAATGTAACATTATTTATAGCTAAAATTATAGTAATTTTTTTTTTGTCATTTTTTTGTTCTATGTAGGATGCATAATGGTATCATTTATTTTAATATATTGCATATCATTTTATAAACATACAAACATTACATACATTAGTACATACTACATTTATACATTTCAGAACAAATTTAACAACAAAAGTAATAATAATAATAATAGGCACATGGTTCCCAGTCTGTAGCTTTCTCTACAATAAGCCATTTTATATGAAACCACTAAATGATTTTGTTTACATCGCAATGACAGAATTATGCCAAGTTTAGAAAAATGTGGAATTCTCCTTTAAATGTTTCTGTTGCATTATAAAAGTTTATGGAATCAGTGATATGATGAAAGTTTATTTGTGAGTTCATACCTTGCCTTCAACATGGTGGTAGTATGAGGGAAGACTCTTATGCAACTATTTTGTAATACAGCATTGCAGCAAAATTTAAAAATTTAATTCAGTGCTTTTAAATACCTTTTTATAGTAATTAACACTTAATGTTTTAAAAATGTGGTAAAATGTGTTAAATAAATTTTTTTCAGACTATTTTACAGTTGCTTCATTTTTTAATGAAGGTATCATTTTATCAACTTTTAAAATAATAATAATAATAAGGAGAACAAGAACAATAATAAGTATGCATAAATTACGGTAAAGTAATTTAAAGGGGTATGGAAAATCACTATTTCACAGTTTTGTATTTCCTTGTTAATCTGTTAAAAGTTCAGAATACTTCTACATTCAAATAATTTACTCTGCAATCCAAAGCATAGCCCATGAAAAAGCACCCACATAGCTTTCAAAAAATATAATTACAGTTATTGTTTATTGTTTTTACAACTGTGTATATGCACAGTACAATAGCGTCATCACACTTGATATGTTCTACAGACAGAGAAAAACATGTTAACTGACTTTGTGTAGAAATTTGAAATATACTGCAATAAATACACAGTTCCGACCAATGAATCTGATTTTAAGGTCTGCTGTTATTCCGTATATAAGTTATGCTGAGGTTATTAATAATATAGTACTATGAACAATTATAAATGATAGGAAACAATTTTAAGACAAATTAATATGGACTAAAAAGAAAAACTGACCAACAGAGTTATACAGAGGTCTGAACCCCAGCAGTACTCATAACATACCTGAGCCAGATAATGATCAGCTGTCAAACAATTAATATCAGACTCAGATGTGCTGGTAGCTGGAATAGAGTCAAGCTGTGGACATATGTGGACACAGGAAACAGGACACAGATAACTCAGTGTGCATATGTCCATGCCGTAATGCCTGAACACTAACATTACTGATATCGCACTGCTAATGTTACTGATCTCTCCTTTCAGAGTTAAATCCGTGAAGAGTGAGAGAACTGTCAGATTCACAGCCCATCGCTTCTTCCTCTGTTTTTTCTCAGTGTTGGTCTTCTTTGTCAGAGATATGAGGAAAATGCATCTGTTAAAAAATCAATTTTAAGACAAATTTGAAATTACTTTTGGATCTGCATACACAAGCAGGCTGAATTTAAAGGGGACCTGTTATGCTAATTTCCAGTGTTCATAAATTTATTTTTGGGGTCGACTATAATATATTTACATGCTTCAGTGTTCCAGAAACACATTATTTTTGTCATACTGTAATTGTTTACTCACCCTCTGTCTGAAACGCTCTGTTAGAGCTCCAGTGTCTTTAAGCCTCTCCTTCCTGATGAGCCCAGTATGCTCAGATTAGTTAGCTCGCTCACTTGGCTCTGACTGATCAAGCACCAGAGCGGTTCCGCCAATACACGGCCTCCGGTAGATGCGTTGCGTTGTGTGAGGGCGTGCAAAGCTCGCTGGTAGGTGGGCAATAAGGATTGTGTTATGGGATTACATCATCTTGTAACAAAGGAAAAGGGCTGGGGAACTCCAGCCCTCAGGCAGCTGAGAAAAGTGGTTTCTGTGGGAAAGAGTTTCTCCCTCTGGTAGATACTTTCAGCTTTGTATCTTACATGTACAAAAAGCTACATAACACAGTAAATAAAAGGGAAAGCATTATATATTCCCTTTATAAGTAGAATATAATGTACAGTATACATAATTTTACTCATCTAAAATCAACTCAGGCATTTAGTACACAAAGAAATGTGACAAGGCTTTAAATAATACCTATGCATGAACTCCAGTGTGGCACCCAGCTCACACACATAGCTGATGTTCAGACAATGATGTTCAGTGTAATGAAAGAAGCATCAGGATGAGGCCACTTGTGTAAGAGCACAGTTGAGTGTTGAGAATGATATGGACTGCCACCATACTGGATGAGGCCCAAAGAGAGAATGTTCCTTGGAAAGGATTGAAAACAACAAAGTTGATTAGATAATTCACAATTCTATTGTTTTCATCCTCTAACATGCCTCAGTCAACACGTGACAGAAATGATCATTTGCTGTTGAGGCAGGTGTGAGCTTAGTACTGATATCTGTATCTGTTAAAAGCTGTGTTAAAGGAGAATTACATGATTTTTAAGCACAATTTCATCATTAAGATGCAAAAAAATAGTTTGATACAAAATGTTCCACTGTGGAAAACTTACAGAGTCAGAGTTGTTCACAGTGGCAGTGACAAGAACCAGGCGTTTGAAGAGTTCAATGCCTCTAATCTCTCTCACAGAGAATTATTACATGAAATGATTATTAATAAGAGCTAAACTCTATTAGAGCATGTTTACCACATGCTTTATGCTATAAATTGTAGGGCTCTGAGACTTGCAGTATTACACGTTAAAGCACTGTGAAGAAGTAAATTCATAAATATTGACACAGTGTTGGTGATATTGCCATATTAATATTTTGAACACAGCTGTAATGGCAAATAACATATTAATAAATTGAATGAACAAAGCGCAGATATTTGAATACTGTAACCCAGCTTTACCTAAACATTCTGCTCTTCTGTATTACCATAAATACTTCATGAATTATATTTGTTTGAAATACCCACAAAATCTAAACATCTGTCTGACATTCTTATAGTTTCATTTAAAAAATTAAAACTTGAGTCTCACCAGTTGCTCAGCTTCAGATGATTTCTGATGAGAAACATCTAAAACAAAACAGACACATGAGGTAAATGCAGCAAAACAACAACAGTAAGGCATAACAATGAAAAACACAAAACAAACTGGTCATTATATATTACTAATAAATGTAGCCGAGTAAAACATAGATTATTAATCTAAAGCACAGATAATACATTTTAAAAATACTCTAGAAAGTACAAATCCACCGAGACGTTACTAGAGTAAATGTAACTGAGCAAATTAAAATTATTACTACCCTCTCTGAACCACACAGACTGACGGACTATGTTCAGTTTCATTGTTGTATTGTTCAGTGTGCTGACCCTGCTGCGCTGTGATCAGTGCGCTGACCCTGCTGCGCTGCGATCAGTGCGCTGACCCTGCTGCACTGTGTTCAGTCTTAGGTTTATTTCTGAGGCAGTCTTTCATTTGGAGCGCGTGCTAAGCGAGATCTGACGCAGCCGCGCCGCTTAGCCGCTAGCTAGCTAACTACATACGCTAACCTACCGCTGGTGTCTTCACTCGGCAGATCAACCCAGAAATACAGAAACAAAAGTTTACTCCAGCTGACTGTCAGTGAGGCTGCTCATCTCATTTTGTCACCACTCACCTTTTAAAAGCAGACTCTGACCGCTGCGGTCGGGACTCCGCTGCGGTCGGGACTCCAGTCGTAAAACCAGTCTCCACTCCACTCGGTCCAGTCAGTAGTTATCGTTAGTCAGCTACGCAGCTGAAACTCCTCGTTTCTGGGAGCTGAAAGCGTCACCCGGCAGGCGGCGCTGTCTTAGTAAGGAGTGTAAGAGAGTCTTATCAGGTTTAACACTCGCTAAACAAACTCGATAAACTGCCCGCGGTAGCGACCTGAGAGACCCGCTCACTGTAAACGGCTGTAACGGCCGCGTTTGGCTTTAAACGGAGGAACGGCGGAGAGCGCTCGCGCTTCAAAACCGAACGTCCAAGAGGCGGAGTCCCGCGCTCTGATTGGTCTAAACTCCCGCCAGTCTTTTGTTTGTCCTCCCATAGATCTTTTTTTTTCTCGTTCGCACGGCTCTGCTGTACTGAATGAACTGTGCTGCTTTATTTTTGTTTGTTTGTTTGTTTTAATCTAGACACAGAACAGAAAACTGCAAACCCTTCAAATACATGACAGCTGTACAGGATTAACATACAGCATCACTGGAGGCCATGTCTTAATATATTAAAGTCAAAGTATGAAGTTGGACATTTAAACAAAAATCTGTTTATTATGTAATTTTACGTGGTGAAACAATACAGGTCTTTATATTACTACTCAAATACATTTGTTTATTATTGTTCGTGTTTTCCAAATACTGGAGATAATAATTTTGAAAGTTATACAAATTAAAAGTCTAACTTTGGGCAGCCCTGATCTGCTTAAGAAAATAAACAGAAGTGTAGATGTTGAAGAGAGTGAACCAAGGGCTTTTTTTGCATTAAGTTTTGGTGGTATGAGATCTCTAAAGTACTCAGGTTAGCTGTTAAGTACATTTACTTCCTATTAGCTCAAAGTTGTTTTATCTTGGTTCCTAGCTTGTTGTCTCTGGTTACAGTTGTACATTTGAAAATAGATCAATGTTGTTTTAATCATAGCATGTTTTCTGCAAATGAGCAAAAGGCTGTGACTGACTGTGATTATCTCCTTTGGTAAATGTTACAAATTAAAAGTTATTCTACCATGAACTTCAATGATATAAGGAAATGAGTTTAAACATTTTAAGGTAAGGTAAATGGTTTAGGAATTGATTTTTTCTTTTGCTATTTTGCCACTGTAAACACATTTCTGCAACAATCAAAAAACAAAACATACAAAAAAAAAAAAGAATCACAAAAGTACAGCAAGTAAAACCTTTAGTGAATGTTCTTTTAGTAATATCACACAAAAAACATAAGATTACAGCGCTGTTTCTTGAGGACATACTTATATTCTCTCTTATATAGTTATATTCTCATTATATTGTACATTAGGCAGTGCTGTGGTAATCCTCAGTAGTAATTTTCAGTTTGGCAGTATCACAGGAATACCACACTCATACCACAGGACCTTTTGTAATGGACCACTCTTTGGTCTCAACTGATCTTTCTTAAGACACAACATCTCTATGTCTTAAGACAAAGTGATGTCTTAAGTCATGCCTCGTCTTCAAGACACACAAAATAAATACTTCTTTGTCTTAAGACGTTAACTTTCATGTCTCAAGACAAAGACAGTGTCTTCACTCATACGTCTTAATACGTTCTTGAGACGTCTTGGCATAAAAAAATGTCTCAAGACATCTTATAAATACTGTCAAGACATCTTAAGACATCTTAAGACACAGTGACAGCTGAGTATGTATTAATGAACTGGGAGTTAATGATGATCTGGAACAGTATTATAAACCCCTAAAAAGATCCACTGTAGTACAAAAAAAATGAATAAAGATATTTTGAAAAAAGTAAGAGTAAATACGCTGTTTATTGAGTACTTTTTTTTTTATTTGTGAACAGTCCAAATGTGTCCAAATAGTTAGCTAGCTCTATCATTGAAAATAACACATGCAAACAAGATGAAGTCAAAATCTGTCATTACTACTGAAGGAGAAAGTCTGAGAGCTGAGACTGATCACAGTATGTTTACACTGAACATAAATTAACGTTGTCATACTGATAATAAGGTAATTAAATATGGAAACTTTTAAAATAAAACCTACCACGGCAATAAAACATGAATGTTGACTTTATTTGCTGAAAAAACAAAAAGGTTACCGCTGAACTCTTCGCTTACTAACAGGAATTGGCTTAATGGTTACCATTAGAGACCATTAGGAAACGAACAAATGTATGTGGAATCAGTCCCAAAACACCGGATTAAACGATCAGAATTCTTTACACTGTGATATCAACCCATCAGGAAAACACAGAATACCATTAAGACTTGCTAATATGCACTGACCAAGATGCACTTAAATGAGTGCATATTTTAAGTACTTGGATAAAAAATGTAGAACATTTTTTACCTACTTTTTTTTTCTACCAGGCCTTTGTGGAGAAGACCACCTGGCACTTGGCCTACAGACAAGTTAACTTTAGGACCCTTTTATTTTATATTTGATTTCAAATAAAATCTAACTGATCTTTCCATGATGGCTTAAATGGGCAGATCAGAATGTTTTTATTTAATAATAAAAATAGATGTATGTTGTTTGGTTTATATTTAGTTGATCTTAGGTAGTGATTACAAATAGATTTTAGAGAAGAAGGGACAGGTAATAATATACCATCAAAGATATAATTTACAAGATATTTTATAAATATGATATTCATCTATATATAATGTATAATGACTGATGAGGAACTAATTTAGTGGTTTTTCTCTTCTCTCTTTTTTTTAAATTCTGAAAAATCTTGTCTCAGTCTCAATCTTGTCTTGGTCTCACCACTCTTGTTGATGTTGCTGTTGTTGTTGTTTGTTTTTTTTTGTTTTTGTTTTTGTAGTAGGAATATGTATAAAGTCTGATATTTAGAATAATAAACACTTTAGAGTTCTGTTGAATTAAACAAACTTACATTTAACAGTAGAGATGCACAGGATTTATTATGATAGCTTTGGTGTTTCTGTTGAGTGCCCATGAGGTTTTTGCAAGTGCTGGTAAAGGAGAGCAGTTAATCTTCCATTCTCAGTGGATTAGTTTGATATTTCATATTTAATTCTGACTCGCTGTATCTCCTGATGTATGATAAGAGAATCAGACTAATGACAGACCCCAAATGGCCGCAAATGTGAGATTTTTGATTCAGATTCAAGGTTTTATTCAGACTACAGCACTAATGAAGAGACACAGATAGCTGACTCACTAACCAATCTGAGCTAAGTAGATTCGGTCTTCTTGTACAATGTCTGTTTTATTGTGCTGTTTCAGAATTCTAAGCACATGTTAGTGCTTTATTAAACCTAAAGCTGCTGCTGGTGTTCTGTTCCGAGTGCATGCTAGCTAGCTAGTTCATTTAGCTAATGTGAGCTAGGCTAAAAGGCAGTGAAACTTTGTGCCTCAGATATGAAACAGAAATATGTGTAATGAATGTACTAGCAGAACATACTGTGATCAGTCTCAGCTCTCAGATTTTCTCCTTCAGTAGTAATGACAGATTTTGATTTCATTTTGTTTGGGTGTGTTATTTTCATATTTCATATTCCAATATTTCATATTCATATATTTCTTTAGGGGTTTTATTTCTAATGTATTTCACTGTAACATGTTTCACTTTATAATACTCTTCCAAGTCATCATTAACTCCCAGTTCATTAATAGTGAGTTACCATGTGTTTCACTTTATAATACTGTTCCTGATCATCGTTAATTCCTAGTTCATTAATAGTGAATCACCATATGTTTCACTTTATAATGCTGGAGAACCTCTACCTTCTGACACACATGAAGAACTATCAGCTGAGAGTGGACCTGGAAGACTTTGACGGGTTAAAGGCTTATGCACTCTACACCTCTTTCTCTGTGGACTCTGAAGCTAATGGCTATGCACTCCATGTTAGTGGCTTCGTCGATGGAGGAGCAGGTGAGACAGATTTGTTCTAAACTTTTGCAGTGTTCATATTCATGGTATTTGTAAGATTCTGAGGATTGAAATTGTGTATGTACAACTCCATTTCCAAAAAAGTTGGGACGCTGTGAAAAATATAAATAAAAACAAAATGCAATCATGTGCAAATCATTTAAACCCCATATTTTATTGAAAATGGTATAAAGACAACAAATCAAATGTTGAAACTGAGAAATTTTATTGTTTTTTGAAAAAAAATTGCCCATTTGCAATTTGTTTGAGTTTGTTTCTCAACATAAAATAGCAAAGAACTTTTGCTTTTCATCATCTATGGTACATAACAGCATTACAAGATTCAGAGAATCTGGAGAAATCTATGCAAGGGACAAGGCCAAAAACCAGTATTTTCTGGTCATGATCAAGCCCTCAGGTGGCGCTGCATTTAAAAACAATCATGATTCTGTAGTGGAAATCACTGCATGGACTCAGGAACACTTCTGAAAACCACTGTCTGTGAAAACAGTTCATCGCTGCATCCACAAATGCTAATTAAAACTTTTAAACACAAAGAAGAAATCATACATAAACAGAATCCAGGAATGCTACCACCTTCTCTGGGCCGGAGCTCATTTAAAATGGACTGAGGTGAAGTGGAAAATTGTCCTGTCTGCCATACTTTGTCTGCAATTGGTAATGTGTGGCAGCCATGGAAAGTCTATGATTTTAAAAATCCCAATGTGATGTTTTGTCAACCGGAAAGGATTCTCAACAGGATTTTGAGCAGATTATTAATACCACCTGACCAAAGTCCAGCACACCATACAGTTTTTTTTTTTATTTTTTTATTTTTTTGGATTTTTACCCAATTATCTCCCCAATTTAGTCGTTTTCAATTCCACCCGCTAGTTAGGACTCCCCCAATCACATGATGCCATCAACGCTAGGAGGGTGAAGGCTAACACAGGCTTCCTCCGAGACCTGTGAAGCCAACCACCGCTTCTTTTTTCGAACTGCCGCTCACGCAACGTCACTGGACAGCCGAACGCGCTCGGAGGAAAGCGCCAACCGCCAGATCTGCTACGTCAGCTAACAGACGCCTGCGCTGACTAGCATCGCGCTGAGTGATGGGGGGGAGAAGGAGGGGCCATCCTACCCACCCAGAGAGAGCGAGGCCAATTGTGCTCTCTTGGACTCCCGGCTACGGACGGCTGTAGCATCACCAGGGATCGAACTCGCGATCTCCTGATGATAGGGCCAACGCTTAGACGGTTGCGCCACTCGGGAGCCCCACACCATACAGTTTAAATGTACAACAGTATTTTTGTTGTTTATATGTACAACTAAAAAAGTACAAAAATGTGTAAACAATAGCTATTGTGTATGTCCTTTGAATGAGTTTACTTTGGTTAAGAAGTGTTTTGGGAAACACTTGCTAATTAATGAACATTCTTACCGTTAGGAAGCTTAAATGCACTGAATCAATAATGAGTGACAAATCTTCCAAACATGTCATTAAAATATGATTTTGGTTCAGTTTCCATGAAAGGGTCATCCATGGTATGAAGCATGAACAATGAGAGACTTCCTTCTTTCACATACACTCAACACTGTTTCTCATGCTCTCCTTCCTTCATTACACCTGTTTAAACTCACTACGTCACCACGTTGCCCTTGATTTAGCTAAATCAGATGTGTTCAAATAGCCTGAACAAGACTCGGAGTCTGAAGATCCAAGAAGTAATTTAGGCTAATAAAATTCCATCCACAGCTCTTTCGCTGAGCCGCTTTATGTCTATCGATAACTTCACACCTATTACGGTACTTATTCAGCAGTTTTCATTCCATGGACATTCTTCTGTCGTGGCCAAGCAATGTTACCCTGCGTGCAAAACAAACACAGCTCCAGCATGTTTAATGGAGGAGGACTCTTATGTTAACTTTAGGCGTTCGCGGTAAAACACACGGTCACATAGCTTGACCAATGGCATGCAGCTAGCGCTTTAGTCCCGCCCACACCTACCAATCAAAATAATGAACTGTGTGTTTGTTTTGCACACATGAAGGAGAAGAAGGAGACTTCAGGCTGAAGTCTTACTTCTGTCGTCTACGGTATAAATGAATAACAAGCTGTTCTTTGTTTTCCCATTTTTGATTCAGTGAGTCAACCTATTAAAATGTAGACTTAGGACACACCCATAAGGTGATTTTCACTCTCACACTGAAAGGACAAAACTAAAGAGACTGTTTTTTTTTTTTTTTCTCGTTTTTCATTTTCTGATTATAATCGGAACCTGTTTGGCTGTTACATACATGGACTCCAAAAGCTAAAGTTATTATTTTGCTTGGTCGAAAAGCCAAAATTCTATAAATGCTAAGTTTTGGTCGATCATTTTCTTTTAAATGAAAAACATGACAACAGTATCAAATGATCATATTCCTTAATTAGATGAGCACATTAAAAAGCATTTGTTGCCGCTTAATAAGTTCATATGTAACTTGGGTTAATGTAATGTTAATGTAATGTGGGTGAACAGGCATTTGCTGCCCTGCTGTTCCTGCTCCCTGTTGCCGTCCACTCTCAGCTTTCGCTGCCGCTGGACTGTGCAGACATCCAAAACCATGACAACAGACAGCCCAGCGGGGTGTACACCATCTTCCCGATCGGGTCCACATCAGCTGTTCGGGTGTACTGTGACATGGACACAGACGGAGGGGGTTGGACTGTAAGTACTGATCCAAATCATCCACTTTCCCTGTCCAGGCTCCGCCCACAAATGTGTTCTTTCATAGCCACTGTTGTGAGGTTGGACAAGCTTTACAGAGCAATACCTACATTTAGAGTCAGTAATTCATTCAGCCTAATGGGAAACTGTAGAACAGACTCAGTTTATATCACAATACCTACATTTAGAGTCGGTTATTCATTCAACCTAATGAGAAACTGTAGAACAGACTCAGTTTATATCACAATACCTACATTTAGAGTCGGTTATTCATTCAGCCTAATGAGAAACTGTAGAACGGACTCGGTTTATATCACAATACCTACATTTAGAGTCGGTTATTCATTCAACCTCATGAGAAACTGTAGAACAGACTCAGTTTATATCACAATACCTACATTTAGAGTCAGTTATTCATTCAGCCTAATGAGAAACCGTAGAACAGACTCAGTTTATATCACAATACCTACATTTAGAGTCAGTTATTCATTCAGCCTAATGAGAAACCGTAGAACAGACTCAGTTTATATCACAATACCTACATTTAGAGTCAGTTATTCATTCAGCCTAATGAGAAACCATAGAACAGACTCAGTTTATATCACAATACCTACATTTAGAGTCAGTTATTCATTCAGCCTAATGAGAAACCGTAGAACAGACTCAGTTTATATCACAATACCTACATTTAGAGCCAGTTATTCATTCAGCCTAATGAGAAACTGTAGAATAGACTTCTCAATCTCTCTATTAGGTCTTTCAGAGGAGACTGGATGGCAGTGTGAATTTCTACAGAGGCTGGGATCAGTATAAGGCAGGATTTGGGTTTGCAGATGGAGAATATTGGCTGGGTGAGCTCTGAATGATTTGTGTTTATCTGTTGGACTGGTTTGTAATTTTTCTCAGTGTTATTTAGCTGCAGTTCAGTCAGGACAATGTGCATTTTTTGCCTGCAAATCTGTAAGTAACACATTTCTGTTCACAACCAAAATGTGAGTAAAAGAATCATAATTTATTATAAAAATTGTAAAAATATTGTTTATTATTGCTATAAATGCTGGGCTGATCCTAGTATACTTGTATGCTGGTGTTCAGGGCTGGAGAGCCTCTTCCACCTGACGCTGAGGAAGAAATATGAGCTGAGGGTGGATATGGAGGACTGGGAAGGAGGGAGGGTGTTTGCTCACTACTCCTCTTTCTCTGTGGATCCAGAGAGCTTTGGCTACACTCTGTATGTGAGCGGCTTCAGTGACGGAGGAGCAGGTCAGTGCTGAATAATTCATAGTAGATACTGAATAATTAATCATACACACTAAAAATGAATAGTAGAACTAAATCATTTGAAGTAGTTACTTAATTATTCATGGTAGATACTGAATAATTAACAGTACGTTGAGTAATTAATAGTAGATACTGAATAATTAATAATAAATACTAAAATGAGTAGTAGTTTGATAAATATTTGATAGCAGATAATAAATAATTAGTAGTAGTTACTAAATTGCTAGGAAATACTGAATTAGTAATATATGTTAAATAATTAAAGATATCTACTGAATAATTCATAGCAGTTAGTTAATATTTCATGAGAGATACTGAATTAATAAGTTGACTGATAGACAAGACAAGACTACTTTATTGATCCCAGGTGAGAAATATAGGTGTTAACAGCAACATGACATGCAAAACAGTGTAAGTAGACATTGTAAATAGAGAAATATGAACATCAAATAGTCGGTCAGAATAAGTAAGAGTATAAATAGCTATAAAAATACATAACCACAGAAAAATTTAGATGTACATATCTACAAAGAGTGCAAAATAATAATAGTAATGAATATTAATTCATAGTAGCTACTGTATAATTCATAGTAGTTACAGAGCATTAAGTCTTAAGATGAATAACTGAATAATAAGGGTTTAAATAAGGGATTAAACCCTGTTCTCCATGTGGAGGGCGTAAGAAGGACGAGGTTGGTTACTATCATTAATAAATGGAATGCACCATTGATGTGAAGATTTCCCAGAATCCTCGCTGATCTGATGTAGAGCTGGTACATTATCAGTGAGTCTCAAAGTGCTGAAAGTCCATCTTCCTGCAGGTGACTCTCTGAGTGGACACAGTGGACAGAAGTTCTCCACGTTTGATAAAGATCAGGATTCTTCTGAGAATAACTGTGCAAAACTCCATCGTGGAGCATTTTGGTACAGCGATTGCCACGCTGCAAATCCCAATGGTTTGTACCTGTGGGGAAGTGATAAAACTCATCATGCTACTGGAGTTGAGTGGAGGTACTGGAAGGGTAATGATTACTCTCTCAAGACCATCGGCATGAAGATCAGACCTGTTTCCTCAGCTATTTAACCACAACTGTTCTCATAAACAGTTAAAGGAATAGTTTGGTGAAAAATGTAAATGATTAAAGACATTTTTTGTCCAAGTTTTCCTTCTTTAGTTTAGCTCTGTAGCTGCTAGGCTAATGTTGCTAACGAACACTGGAAGTCAGTAGTTACTCAAAGTGTTTCCACAAATACCTGCCAAAATCATTTATTTGCTTCAAATTCTGTTATATAAATTTGTTTAGAAAAACGGAATCTGGTAGAGTGGCGTTCACAGGCCTCAATAAGACATTTAAGCTAAAATTGGAACTACTTTATCATCCGCAATACATTCCAGCTTTCCGGTATGATTCTACCTTCAAACTCTGAGAAGCTGGAGAGCAGGGTTAGCCAGCCAGCCTGCAGATGCAATGCTAGCATTAGACGGACCGCTGTCTTTCTCTGGAACTCAGTTGTTTTGTGTTGCATACTGATAGACTCAGGCCTGGGCCCACCTGTAGCCCCAGGGCCCACAAGAAGGTGAAAGCGACTGTGGGTATGTTACCAATCAGGGCCGTCATGCCCATTCAAGCTGTTTGGTATCTGTATTTTCACGATTTTATTTTAATACTATTATTTTTTATAGTATTAGTTATGTTCATTTTATGTTATGAGTGCAGTGTATTCTTCTAATTATGTCAGATCTTACCCCCAAAAGTCGCGCCCCCCTATCCTTATGATATTGGTTTCTTCCAAAAGTTGCAGATGAAATCGGGTCTCGGCGGCAGGTCCAGACAGACATAGCAGTCTGTGCTCATCAGTGCTGTATGGCTGATGAACGATGTGTTGCCAAAGTCTGCACATCAATGCCTTTTGCAAATGTGTGAAAATGAAATCAATCAATCAACCTTTTGTTTAAACTCGGAATACACTGAGGGAGACCCTCATTTACAATGTAGCAGAGTAATACAGGAATCAGGGATTGAGAAGTTGTACAGTAAAAAAAACATAAATCAAATGTTACAATTAAATAATAAAAATCATAAAAGTAAATTTTAATATTTAACAATAATAATGATAAGAAGAAGAAGGTGGAATAATAAGAAATGCAATTAGTTTTACACACATTCGAGTGCATTTGGGAAATATATGCATAGTGACATTGTGCACCGTGATAGCTTAGCATCCTATGTAATGTCTGTGAAGCTGAGCTGTGTGACCCGTATAGCACTGAGCATCATCTGTTCTCATGCCGCTTTCTCTGCACTGTGTCTGTAAATAGAGCTGTTATCATGCTGGCAGGTTTCTTTCATCTGTGGCTTTATTGTCTATGTTCTCTTAACTAATTTGGATTGTAGATGTGGACTTTTTTCTGAATTTGCCCCTTAATTTAAGCTGCTTTTTAAATGAAGCAGGCAAGATGTAGCTCTTTTTCAAGAAAAGCAGCAGCAGTGTAAGCTCGTGTAGAAGTGAGTGAATAAGTGAGTCATTTTCAACAGAACAGCACAAATAATTGATATGAAAACCTCTAAATTAATATACAGTATTTACCCTGATATAAAGTGGGAGATTGCTGAGGTACGAAAACTGAAGTTTTAAAATAATCGCCTCAAAGTCAATATGCAGAAAATCATTATTTTCTCTTATTTATTTATTTTTCTGGGGAAGGACCCCCATGCCCCCCACTCTTATTGAATCAATAACCGGTGCTTTACTAAAATGTGCTTTACTTTTTACTCAATAAAATAAAACTGAATGGTTTGATGAAGAGGGTTGATTACTTTTTTTTAATGTTCATTTATTCAGTCTGGACTGCACAGAATCTGTCATTCATTCTGGGATCAACAGAATCATAACTGCAGAAATGAGAGAATGTTGTTGGGAAAAACATGCAGTTCTTATAATAGCTTATTTGGGACTTTACTTAGGAAACTAGTTGCATTTATCCATTTTCACAAATATTTAACATCTATTACTGGGCATAAAATCAAGATTTATCATCAAATTTTACGATCATATATGCACTGTAAAAATTAATTCTGTAACAGGGTGTCTGACATAACCTGTTCATTAAGTAGTGAAACTGTTGAATTACATTAAAAGACTTTTCTAAGAAGTTAAAAAACTGTAATTCAGCTGCTTCAATAGTTCAGCAACTGACATACAGTATTTAATAATAACAGTAACACCCATTAAAATAAAAGCAAATGTCTGTGATAAAGACAATTAGGTGAGCATTTCTTTTTGTGAATTTACATTCTATTTTGGTCAATTTTCTGTAGTTATTAAATATATTAAATGTATGGTTTATTCACATGCATTTAACCTTTTTGTCAAACCTTTTTATTGCTACTAATAAATTTAACAGTATTTTGACGTAAGAGAAGAAATTGGACTGATTTTCTTCTTTGAAAAGATAAAAAAAATGCAATTGAAAGCTAAATTTAAGAAATATGTTTCTTAAAAGTGAGCTTAACTGTCTAATGAAAGGAGGTATTGAGATCCACAGTTTTGAAGTAGAAAAACAGAAAGACGTCTTGATCTCAGCCGGGTGCTTTAGGGTCATCGTTTCTTAACAATCGAACGTTTTCCAGGTGGTTCTGAACGACTGTACTTCCTAATGTCTTAACTCAAAAACATACACCAACTCCGGATGTTGTTATACATCCCTAAACTTGCTGTCATTTATATAGATCTCAAATGTAGACTCATCAGTCCATAAAACCTTCCTCCTCATCTCAGATGTCCAGTTTCAGTGTTCAGTTTTGGTGTCTACCAGGTCTTCCAGGTGGTTGTTAAGAGCCACATTTTCTCTTCAGCTTTTAATCAGCTTGTTGAGCTCCAGTTTTTCATTTATTTTCCTTTGACCTTTTCCTTCCTTATGCAAGTAGATGATTTTACATGTAATAGAAATATCTTCTGAAAAACAAATAACTTGTATGTAACTAGGTAACGGCCATTTTCAGTGTAAATTCAACAATATGAAGGGTGGTCTCTGAATTATGCACAGCACTGTACACATACTCCAGTATGTGGATTGGGTCAGTTTGTCTGAAGTGGGAAAGTGGGTTCTGTACATTTCCATACAGTATGTGCATGTGCAGCCTCATAATAAATGACATACATATTTGGCTTATAAAAGGACACAATAACCAAAACTACACCCACACTCTTCATTAGACAACACCAAAAGGTAATAAGTAATATGTTTTTTCTTATTGAATACTTGTGTGTATAGGTGTAGGTATGAGTCAGGTCGTGTGTATATAAAGCTATACTGCTTACAGCTAGATAAAGCATAGCTATCACAGGACCATTCACAAAGCCAGTATGATCCAGACAAACAGGTGTTCAAAGATACACTGTTAAAAATAAGAGCTCAGTTCAACTCAAAATGATATAGTAACTGATGACATGGCTTTTCTTGAGGTGACTCAACTTGAAGACACCAGCTCAGACGTCTTAGTTGAGTCAAACGTTCTTTTCATTTTTAGTTCTGTATCTCAGTGAGGTAAATAAAATGAGCCTATTTTTTATACTCAACTTCCCCACTAGCCAGGACTCTCTCCATCACACAATCCTGCTAGACATTTTTCCTCTTGGGTTCACACTTACGGATGGCTGTGGCATCACTGGGGCTCAAACTCACAACCTCCTGCTGGGGGTGATGGCTTAGTCCACTGTACCACTCAGGAACACATGGAACAGCCCAGATTTTGTGCCTACAAATGTTTCAAACACTGGAGAAAATATCTGTTGTTTTGACTTTAAAGCAGGGTGTCGTCTCATGTGGTGCAACTGTCTAATAATTCTTTCCAACAGTTTGAATCCCAGCAATGCCACAGCTGTCCATATCCGGAAGCCCAAGAGGAAAATAAGGCAAATGGGACTGTGTGATGGAAGGAGCACCAGCTGGTGGAGAAACTGAGTAAAATAAACATAAATTCAGTTTTGTTTATCTAACTGAGATGCAGAGCTAGAAACAGTAGCTGGGAGAACTTTTGACTCAACTAAGAAGTTTGAGCTGTCTGAACTCTGGAGTCCTCAAGTTGGGTCAACTCAAGAAAAGCCATATAATCATTTACTATATCATTTCAAGCTGACCTCTCATTTTTTACAGTGAAGAAGAGTCATAAAGTGAGCAAGACTACAACATTAGCACAAAGTACAGTGTCTGCATGGCTAAAGCAGCCAACAGGATTCAAGATAACAGGCTAACAATTTCTACAAAGCTAAGAAGCTAATAAACAACTCAAAGCTTCGCAAAACAATGGAGAGCACATACTGAGTGAAAAACACTGTTCCAAGTTTCAAAACATACCACAGCCTGTAGAGTCCATGTGGAAACTAAGCTGTGAAAAAGCCCATTTTGAGTTCACTGTCTTTGTGATCAAAGAAAAAAAAAAAGCAAAGCATTTGCATATATCCTCCCACAGGAGTTTAGCTCCACCCACTCACACTGAAGTTACACAGTGTTTCAACCCGGACTGTTTTTCGATTGAGGCACATTACAGGACAGCCAATCAGAACAAAGCTCATTTACATAAATCAGTTTTGAGGATCACACAAAAAAATGATATGGGTAAAAAAAAAATGTAGTTTAATAATCTTAGTTTTCTTACAACAGTCTTACTATGAGATATATCGACTACATGTAGATGATTTCACTTCATTTTTGGCAATTTGCAATACGTATCGTAGGCGGAATGGCGGGAAAACTGGGGGAGTTAAAACAGTCCAGGCTCTGCCCCCCCATTATGAAGTCACAGTCACAAGGCGGGGTCTCTCTGTCTCTCTCAGCCGTTCGACGTCTTCTTCACCTTCGAGATTCCCTCCAACGTCCCGGACTCTGTTACACTAGAGAGAGAATAGAGAGAGAATAGAGAGAGAGAGAGAGAGAGAGAGAGAGAGAGAGAGAGACAGACAGACAGAGAATAGAGAGAGAATAGAGAGAGAGAGAAGAGAGAGAGAGACAGAGAGAATAGAGAGAGAATAGAGAGAGAGAGAGAGAGAATAGAGATAGAGAGAGAGAGAGAGAGAGAGAGAGAATAGAGATAGAGAGAGAGAGAGAGAGAGAGAGAGAGAGAGACAGAGAAGAGAGAGGGAGAGACAGAGAATAGAGATAGAGAGAGAGAGAGAGACAGAGAAGAGAGAGAGAGAGAGAGAGAGAGAGACAGAGGAGAGAGAGACAGAGAAGAGAGAGAGAGAGAGAGAGAGAGAGAGAGAGAGAGAGAGAATAGAGAGAATATCACATTTAAGCTGAGCTCCTCTTGTTCTGAGACGTTGTTCTCAGTTAACTAGCTGTCACACTGGTTTGTACTGTAGTGAGTGAACGGCTAGACTTTTTCTAGAGTAGTAGAGTAGAAATTTCAGAGCTAGAAAACTCGAACTGTGCTTTTTTCATTGCTGATCGGTTCCAGTTTTATGGTTTTTGGTACCTGTTCAAGATCAGTACCTACAGAACCAAATGGCACTTGATGTTCTAATCTGTCTTTGGTAACACTTGCAGCTGAAGCTAACAACAATTTAGTGAATTATTTACTCTTCTGGGTGACAACTAGCACTACAACTTCACCAGCAAAGCACCAGAATGTACATCAGAATGATGTATGTTGATGTGTCGACTGATATTTTTTAGAATTATTACTTTGTCAACAGTTTGCAAAGGTAAGCTTCTTAGGAAACAAAAATAACATTTGTGCTAACCTCTAAAGAACGAGTGTTTTTGCTCAAATTTTCACCCTCGACAAAGAAAAATAGAAGCTTTGTTTGATTCTGCACATGATTCTGTGCAAATGTAGACTGTAGATGGTAGAATGTAGATTACAAATGTAAATTTGTGTGTATGTGCAGAAAAGCACACTATATTATTTTACATTAGCACAGCAACAGCTGAGTTAGCTAAGATAACTAGCAAACAAAGTAGGTAGTTAGCTGAATCAGATGTTTTAGAGGCACATTAAACAACCACAAATACAATTAAATCGTTAATTGCAGTTAATAAGGTGGTCTCTCAAGCAGACAGAAAATGAACTAGAGCTGAAAACCATCATGTTCTACTGGTTCTCGTTTGGGTCAGTTCTTGTTTTTGATGCGGTGGGAAAACATCTCTTGTGTATCAAAGCAGCAAAGTTTAAAGCCTATTTACTGGGTTTTGCTGGTGGTGTGGTGGTGGTGGTGTGTTAGTGTGTGTTGCGCTGGTATGAGTGGATCAGACACAGCAGTGCTGCTGGAGTTTTTAAACACTGTGTCCACTCACTGTCCACTCTATTAGACACTCCTACCTTGTCGGTCCACCCTGTAGATGTAAAGTCAGAGACGATAGCTCATCTGCTGCTGCACAGTTTGTGTTGGTCATCCTCTAGTCCTTCATCAGTGGTCACAGGACGCTGCCCACAGGACGCTGTTGGCTGGATATTTTTGGTTGGTGGACTGTTCTCAGTCCAGCAGCGACACTGAGGTGTTTAAAAACTCCAGCAGCACTGCTGTGTCTGATCCACTCAGACCAGCGCAACACACACTAACACACCACCACCACGTCAGTGTTACTGCAGTGCTGAGAATGACCCACCACCCAAATAGTACCTGCTCTGTGAGGGTCCATGGGGGTCCTGACCACTGAAGAACAGGGTAAAAGGGGGCTAACAAAGTATCAGAGAAACAGATGGACTACAGTCTGTAACTGTAGAACTACAAAGTGCACCTATATAGTAAGTGGAGCTGATAAAATGGACAATGAGTGTAGAAACAAGGAGGTGCTCATAATGTTATGCCTGTTCGGTGTAGATGCAATTATTTTTATTCAAAGTGCCTCATATCTACATTATTAATATGGAAAATGTGCCTCATTTTAATAGGCATTTTCATTATTTTCAAGGCCTGAAGTGAACATATTTTAATCAGAATGCATTTTACACTTTGTCCAGGTTCTCCTCGTCCTGAGGGAGCTGCAGGTAGGGGTCACTGGAGGCCGGCCGGAACTTAAAACCCGTCAATACGAAAAACACCAGAGTGGACACCTCGATCAGAAACTACAGGGAGAGAGAGAGAGAGAGAGAGAGGATAATGATCAATAATGTGCCTGGGATATAATGACGTTCAAAGGCACATGTCCGGTTTCCCGGAAATGGGTGCAATGTCACCGTGGAAATGGATGTGGCATAACCATGCAAACATTTATAGTCCACTGACCGATATAATCAGAGTAGCTGTTACTTCTGAAGGATTTTTTCAATAAGCCCCATGTTATAATTCCACTATTTGGATTATGAAAGTGGGGCAGTGACAGCAGATCTGCACTGTTTACAGATTTCACCCACAACCTCTACATCACTGTGAAAGTGTGGGAGGAAACAAACTGGACTTCGAACACTGGAATCTACATGTATGATAACATCGATGAAAATGACAGTATAAATGTGGTCTGATTGTCTCACCTCTTGGCACCACTGCCACCGGAAGGGTACAGTGACCTTCAGCAGGATGGCCATGATCCTCGTAAAGTAGATATAACACACGATCTGCACACAGACAAAAGGAGAGAAAGAAAAGACCGAAGAAAGAGAAACATTAGACAACTCACTGTGCTGAAATTTATATTTACATTTTGTATTGCTATGGAAAGCAATTTGTGTCGTGCAATAACTACAGTGGACAAACGTGAAATACAGTGCACACGATATTACTTTTATAAATAAAGATTACAGTACAGTACAGGATGAAAAAAAAACATAACTGTACTGTTTTCACGTTGTTTGAGCTGAAAACAATGCATGAGGATTTGCATTTAGAAAACAAAATGCTGAATTCACGTCAAAATTCAATACAATCCGCCTTGGAATGCAATGAGGGCACGACTAAATTGCTTTTCAGTGTGCAGCACTTTAAACAGGTTTTCCTCATTGAAATGCAATCAGAACAGTGAAAACATTAAAATGCAATGCACACGTGACATTACTTTTCCACAGGTGGCATGCAGAATACTCACCAAAATGAAAAGCAAAACCTCTACTACGCTGTTTTCATGTCACTTTACCTTTTTTTTCTACTTCAAACATATTTGCCTCATTGAAACTGAACCAAAACAAATGCAATGCAGACACAAGATTGCATTTAAACAGCAACGTGCAAAAAATGCTCCAAAATGAAAAGTAAAAGTTCCATTACATTGATTTAATGTTGTTAAAAGGTGGAAAGCAAAAACTGTGCCTTCAGTAAATTTCAAAATGGATTGTATCTAATTCTGACTTTATCTCAGCATTTCTTCTTCTAAAAGCAAATCTGAACAAAAACACAGTGGAGATCAAGCGATGCGAAAACAATGTAATAGAGGTACGTATTGTCTGTACTGACTGTAGTGACTGTTTCTGGCACAAATCCTTCTCCCAGTTTCGGAGATTTTTAAATTGTATGTGTGCTGCAGATGTAGGTGAGTGCAGTGTTGGGAGCCTAGCCTAAGCGCCCAGACCCTAATCCATGGGTGTGTTAGTGTATGTTGCGCACACTAACACACCACCACCACGTCAGTGTTACTGCAGTGCTGAGAATGACCCACCACCCAAATAGTACCTGCTCTGTGAGGGTCCATGGGGGTCCTGACCACTGAAGAACAGGGTAAAAGGGGGCTAACAAAGTATCAGAGAAACAGATGGACTACAGTCTGTAACTGTAGAACTACAAAGTGCACCTATATAGTAAGTGGAGCTGATAAAATGGACAATGAGCACAGAAACAAGGAGGTGGTCATAATGTGATGCCTGCTCAGTGTATATTGTCAGACATATTTGTTTTTACTCACCATCACACAGTAATGCCTGAGCAGCTTCAGATTCACCGCAGCTGCAACATACACACACAACTGTTTACGCATATATAGAAAACTTCATTTATAGTATTAATTTCTTACAGTCTCTAGTCATGAAATAACACTGAATGAAATATTTTTCACTGCATATTAATCTTTTCTTAATCTTAATTTTGGGAAATCTTATAAAATAAACACTGAAACACTGAAAATGTATTTCAGCCTCGTCCTGGTCCAACATCCCATCAGTAACTTAGGACAGTGACCAGTGCGCACACACCTTTTCTGTCTGTGGTGGTCTGCAGGTGTCGAATGGACCTGCAATAAACATAAACAAATACTGTTTACATGGCTAAAGTTGAGTGATCTGATCTGAAATGTAGATCACAATATTTCATTATTAGACAATATCATTATACTATGTATGCAAAAGTTTGCACACCTCTGGTCAAATGATGTTTTGGTGATTTTCTAAGTGTGAATAAGTAAACGCATCCTCTACAGAGACACACTTCAATATGGCAGTTTTCAGCAGATTTTCATGCACAAATCCCATTTATTTACTGAGCTGATTATATTATGTGATATATGGTATTTTTCCTCCACTTGTTAAATTCCGTAAATAAACAGTAAATGTGTATTAAAATGTTCAGAAGTGTGTTCTCTGTAGAGGATGTGGTCTCTTATTTACATTTACAAAATCAACAAAACATGGCATTTGAATGGGAGTCCAAAATTTTGCACACAACTGTACATTAAAAATAAATAACAACAACAACAACAAATAAACAAGTAAACACAATTTTATAAGCCGTTAAAAATTACAGGTATCATTTTATTACAATTTTATAGCATTTTTATAACATTTTATTGTGTTATAAATCCAAACATGACGAAACTTAAAACGAAAACCTTTTTATTTTTTGTTGTGTTGATGTGAACTGTAACAATCTTTAAGTAAAAAAATAAAAAACAACCTGCCTGCGCTGAATCAAAGCCATTTACACTTCATGTATTTTAACTGATTTGACTTCTCATTAAAACGACGTGTTCATTTTAATTGTTTTCACCTGATTCTAATCTCTGGTTCTTGGTAACTGGACTGAAATTATAAAAGCACAATGAAAATGAACACTGGATTTTTTGCTTCTGTACTGAAAACATATTTTATCGCTGTGCAAAAAGCACAAAAAAAATTTCCTGAGTTTGGTGTTTTGTTGAAGCCCAGAGCCAAACTCACCAGACGACGGGGAAGAGGATCGCTCCACAGCAGACCAGATCCACCAGGAAGAGGACCTCCCTCCACAGAGCGTACTCACTGGAGGCCTCCTCCGTCTCCTCAATGATGATATACACCACGTTAGCTAGAACCTGAATAATAAAAAACACAAAATCAGTCTACCAATCAATCCTTAATCTGTATCCTTGATACCAAATAAGCTAGAACCTGAAACATAAAACACACTAATCAATCCTTTCATTCTCCTCAATGATTATATGTGAGTCACTAGCTAGAACTTCAAAAAATTAAACAAAATCAACCATCCATCTAAATCATGATAAATCCCATGTTAGCTAGAACCTGAAGAGCAAAATTAAGAAATCAGTCAAATAAATCAATGAATCATCTGGCTAAAGAATGAGCTAAATTAGCTAGAACATGAAGAGCAAAACCAACCCATGAATCGGTCAAATCTGTCTCCTCAATAATGATACGCCACACTAGCTAGAACCTGATTAGCCAAAAAGAAAGAACAATATCAGTCCATCTCCTTAGTGATGAATATATATGGCACATTAGCTAGAACATGTAAAATAAAACATCTCAATCAATCAGTCTACTCAATGATACATGCCACATTATCTAGAACCTGAGCAATAAAACATGCTGTGAATAAACCGAAAAATTTGCCTCCCCAATGATGCAATGTTAGCTAGAACCTGAATTAACAAGGAAAAAACACGATCAATCCGACTGCCCACATGCCACATTAGTAAGAATCTGAACAATAAAGCACCAATTAATTAATTAATAAAGCATCAATTAATCAGTTAATCTACTCCTTCAAAAATAATGCCACGCTAGCTAGAACTGAAGAGCAAATCAATCTGTGCCTTTGAAAAAACTGCTGAACAGAAAGGAAACGTGATGAAGTTGTAATGATTCACTGATCGAATGTCTGAAGAATCAAATAATCAAATCGCTGTAAAGTTGTTGATTCACAGCCCTACTTCTGTTAGCATGTTACCGATAGCTAGTAATTAATCAATTAATCCATCTCCTCAATGATAAATGCCAAAAGCTGTACAATAAACACACTAATCAGTCCGTTAAACTGTGCATTTATTATACATGCCACCTAGTCAAATCAAAGTGCTAATTAATCAATCATTCAATCAATCAATCAAATTATCTCTGTTAATCATGTCAAAAAGAACCTGTATTGCAAATCAAGTTACAAATCAACCAATCAATCAATCATTCAATGAATAAGTCAGCTCATGGATTAAGCGGAGAACCCGTACCTGTAGAGGGATGACGATCACAAAGATGATGATCTCTTTGTTAGACAGGATGTATTTGACAAAGGTAAAACCTGTTCCTATCAGAGCCAGAGTGATGAAAAACAGCACCCCCTTCAGTCTGTCCAGAGAAACAAACACAGAAATATTAGCAGCTATTAAAACTCTACAAACCTTTATATACACAGCAAACCCACCGAAGCTCCTGATCTTTTTTGGAAACTGAAACAGAGGAGAGTAAAGCATAAATGGTTTGACAGGTGAGAAGCCTTTTACTGAGTTGTGACATATTGGCTTTTGAAAGAGAGCCAGTTACCTACAACATAAAGATCATTAGTTAAGTTCTACTTAAAACTGCCATTCAGTTCAAGCTCTTTCTGAAGAGAAGTCCCCAGCCGGGAGTCCAGGGTCCTCTCTGTGTGGTGTTTTCATGTTCTCCCCATGTCTGCGTGGGCTGTATGTTTTGCGTGGGGTGTGTGTATTTCTGAGGAGAAAAAAGTTTCCAAAACTTGAGCTCAACTGTGCTTCCTAACAACCACCTGAAACACCTCCCCCAAAACTGCCCCCATCAGATAAACAGCACTTAAAGCTTTCATCTTTGAGAGAGAGGAGAAAATCAAGCTGCTTCAGATCTGAAAACATCCACAGGTGTTTCTGTCCATCCTTCCACTGTGAGAAGACGACTCAGCGCTGTGGGTCTGAAAGGATGTGTAGCTGATCAAGAAGAACCTCACTGAGAAAAGGAGACGGACACATCAAACAAAGAAGCTGAACGATGGACTGACCACCCCAGAGTCCAGACCTCAACACCACTGAATGTGTTTGATTACTTCAGAAAATGATCAACCAGCTTCTAAGACTGAACTCTGGAGGTGTGTCTGCAGATTCTTTGAGGAGCTGAAAGTGAGTCTCCTGAAAAGAATGGAAGCTGGAATAAAGGTGAAAGAGTGACTCACTGACTGAACACAGCTGTGAGTAGATTCAGTTGCTGAGGCATCTGAAAAATTAATAACTCGTACTTAAAGACTGTTTTGTTCGGAAAATAAACACACTTACAGGTAAGTGATGTAGTACATCACCGCCCAGCCTTCAATAGGATGTCCCTCCGTGTTGATGAAGTGATAGTTGATCTAAAATTAAGAGAGAGTATTTCAGGAACGCAGTGACTAACTACATTTAGGATTTACATACATAATTTACTACATTCTTCTTGTATCTAATTTTTCCTTGTGCTCTTCATTTTACCAAAAACAGTCATAATTCATGTGTTTACATGACCATTTTCAGACACACTAACAGATGTACTGACACAAAATATAGTTTTATTTTTCCCCACTTCCCTTTTTTAATATATGTACATTACTGACACTGATATTATGTCAATGTCGTACCCCTTTTTATTTTTATCTTTTTAAGTGGGAAAAAAAAAATATTTTTTGTAAAAGCTGGTGACGCTGAGCTGCTCCCAGACTGAGGCAGCAAAATGACAAATTTCCCTTGTAGCACCAATAAAGTAATAACTAATCTCATTTTAGCATAAGGCAAATGTAATAAATCACGACACAAATGAATGTGATGAACTGTGTTTAGTCTGAATGACTCGACGGCTCTGGTGCTCGTGGTATGTGATGTAACAGGCACTCACACTGTGGAACACCAGAGACACAGCTTTAATGTAGGCCAGAGACGCCATCAGCCAGTGGATTTTAAACACGCTGTACCTACAAAACAAAAACACACACAGTTCAGCCAAACACAGCGCAGCACCTTCAGGAGGTTCACACTGTGTACATGAGGTTTATTCAGCTCTGCTGTTTCTACTGTAACTACAATCTACTGCAGCGTTAAACACAACCAGAAATAAAAAGATCTGAACTTGTTTACATGTTTGGTCATATTAACTAGGCATATTTGTGAGTACTTTGATCCTGGAACGTACTGAATACCCCAACAGTGATAGCGTATTCAGATACTTTCAGCTTCAATGGGAAACAAAGACAGAGAAATTATACAGACCAAAAATACAATGAAACAACAATTTTATGTTTCCTCAAATTTGAGTGTGAGTGTATTATATCACACTTTACTACTGCCAGTGCCTGCTGCTAATCATGTGCTTTGTAAAGGGAAATTACACTGATTTTTCTAAATTTCTGCAAAAAAATAAATGGCTGAGATGTAAAGAGTTATTCAGAGTGGGGGTGATAGGAACCAGGGGTCACCATGACTACAACACCAATATAGACATTTTATTTACTATCCAGAACCACCAGTGAACCTACACGAGTCTTCTGAGTTTATATGGAAAGTTGATGATGGAAAATAGTGGAAAATCTGAAATAATAAGTTTTCTTTGGGGACTATTTGCCACATAATGTCCTGCATGTATCCCTCCACCATGAATGGATCATGAAAAAGTACGTTTTAGGCCACCCTCAGTGAAATTACATGATTTTGTTGAAAGAAAATAACACATTCTCTATAGAGAACATGCTTGTGCACATTTTAATGCACAATTAGTTTATTTACTGAATTTAACAGACTGCGGGGAAAAAAACAAAGGGTAAAATACAAACTGTGCTACAACTTTTGCACAGGCCGCGTTTTATGTTTGATTTTTTTTTCAATGTGTTAAATTCAGTAAATAAACAGTAATTGTGTATTAAATTTTGCAGAAGTTTGTCTCTGTACAGGATGTGTAACTTATTTACAGAAAATTAATAGCACGGAATTTGACCAGGTGCGCCCAAACTTTTGCATAGAATTGTACATCACTGTAGGGGAGGATGTCTGTGTGTGCGTGTGTGTAGGTGTGTGTACCGGTGTTTGAGGAGAGTGTATGTCCACACTATGGCTGCGGTCAGAAACATTGCCGCCATGCAGATGTAGAGACGCGGCAGAGGAATCTCAGCAGCCGAGAGGAAACCAGCCGGATTCTTCTCTGTAATGTGAACCTGCACAACACACCACCATCATCATCATCATCATCATCACCACCATTACACATAACTATCAATCACGAAACATCATTCAATTTCCTTTCACAGCATCAAAGTTTCAACAAGTAACTCTGAGGAACACAGCTCTTCAAGTTTACTGCAGATAAATGCTATAAAATTATTATTATATGATGCTGCACTTCTACAACTTCCAAGATATCAAATAAATATTAAGTAGCTGTAAAAAAATGATGAAATGTTAGATGAATCCAGAACATGCAGAATTAAGTTCTAATACAATTCAAAGTTCCCAAAATGATATAAATATTAAATAAAACAACAAAAAGGCTTTTAATATCTAGTTTACTATTAAATAAAATGCCACAATGATCTGAAAAAAAACTCCAAACTTTTATTTTGTTGTTTACATGTAAAGATGTTTATATATGATTGTGCTTACGCTGAGTGAGTATGGGCTGAAAGTGCCCGGCTTCATACTGTAGCAGTTATGGAAGTTCAGAGTGTACAGGCCCTGATCTTCAGCTCCCATAGTGATATGAAACTGAGAGAGAGAGAGAGAGACAAAGAGAGAGAGAGAGAGAGAGAGATAGATAGAGAAAACTGTAAAACAATTTACACTCCATCACACCTACATTACATATAAAATGGACCTATTATATTTGATATACACACACATGCCTGGACACCTCAGTTCAATTCTATATTAAAAATGGAGTCACTGTTGACCGTTATGTTGCTTGGACACACTGCTTTTTAAAATCATTAAAGTTTGTGATAAATTATTTGTTGAACATCGGTGTATTTATTTATATTGCATTTAGTGTCTGATTTATAAAAGCAATAATTCAGTCTGAACAGCGGGGAAAATCACTGTAATGTGTGGCCTGCAGTGGATTAGCGCTTTAATATACACCTCAGAATGAATCTCAGGAAATCACATCAGAAAAAGGTTTCTGTGTATTAATGTTGTAAAATTACAGATCAGACGCGTCATTTAGAGCCTGCAGGTCAACTACAACGGCTACAAACGTCTTCAGTAATGTGGCAAGTATTATTGCGGAGGGGGTGAGGTTTTAATTTTTCTGGTATGGTTTTAATCAGCCCGAGTTGTGATGAAAGACTCACTGTGAAGTTGTAGGAGTCCTTGAACTTGAAGAGGGTCAACTTCATTCCGTTTATGTTCTTCCCCTGATCGGGACCCAGGATAGAAAAATTAAAACCACCAATAAGTGATTAATCACAAACACACAAATGCAAACTGACTCTCGCACACACCTTCTTAGTAAGAGACTCAGTAACTATGCTCTCCTTGAGCTCCTCTTTCTTCTGTTGTTCCACAGCAGAGTCCTTTGTTTTGTCGTCATTCGTCGTCTCCACTTTGTTGACTTTGTCTTCGTTCTCACCAGCCTTGGCTTTTGTCTGATCTGAAGCCAAATTTAATTTATCTTCTCATTTCTTCCGGGTTTCTGAAAAACGTGAGCTTAGTGCATACACTGAACCCTAAGTGTGATTAAGTGAAGCGTAGTATTAAGTGTGAAAGTCACCTGTGCGAATTTAAAACTGTTGTGAAAGTGTAGAAAACGAAAATGGAGGATGAGAGTGAATCTGGGTCTGTTGTTGAAGGTGGACTCAATGTAAGCTGCGAACACTAAGAGGACTGAGTGGGATGAGTTTAAACATGGTTTTAGAGTGAACCTAGTTCTACTGTGAAAGTGAAATGAATGTAAATTGGGGTTTAGAGTGAACATGGATCTGTATTGAAAGTGAACTGAGTGTAAACAGCACTTTAGACCGAATCTGTATCTGTTGTGAAAGTAAAATGAGTGTAAACTGAACACTCAGGATTGAGTGTTCAAAGTGAATATGGATCTGAAGCAGAAGTGAACTAAGTATAGACATGGGTTTAGAGTGAATCTGTTTTGGTTGTGAAAGTGAACTGAATGTAAACAGAGCTTTAGACTGAATCTGGATTTGTGTAAATGGGTGTTAAGTGAATATGGATCTGAAGCAAAAGTGAATTAAGTGTAGACGTGGGTTTAGAGTGAATCTGGATCTTTTATGAAAGTGAACCGAATGTAAACAGAGCTTTAGACTGAATCCGGATCTGTTGTGAAAGTGAACTGAGTGTAAACGGGGTATTTAGAGTGAATATGCATCTGTTGTGAAAGTGAAATGAGTGTAAACGGGCAGTTTAGAGTGAGTATGGATGTTGTGACAGTGAACTAAGGGAAACTGGAGGTATAGAGAGAATCTGGATGTGAAACTCACCCTTCACTTCTTTTTTCTGGCCAGCCATTAAGATGCTGTCCTCCTCACCAAAGGATTTTACCTGGACACTGAAAACACACAATCAAAACAGTTTAAAGCCTGTGTCAGTTCAGGTTGCTGGGGTGAAGAGAATGGACACTTAATCTGAAACAGACAAACACACCCAACTCTACACATACGTACTCAATGTAGCGCATGGATACACTCATGCACTCATCCTACCTGAGTGTTAGTGGGTCGATGATGAAGAGAATGAGTGTATCATCACTTCTGGTTTTTAATAGAGTGCACTTCTCAGGGTCCTCGGCCTGTGAAACAAAAAAAAAAAACACTGTAATAAGATCTGCTGTATTAATTCTTAATATACAATTAAAACTTAAAATAAAGGTTCATTGATTGAAAACTTATATCTTTTATTAACTCTGAAAGAATTAATAAAAAAGTTAACATATTACCACAACCAATACTACTATTGATAATAATAACAATAATAATTATTATTGTTTTTTCTTCTTATAATTATGATTATTATTATTATTATTGTTACGGCATATCACAGGGATGCATCGATACTGATACTGGTATCGGGTATGGGGCTGATACTGCGCTCATTTACTTGTGCTCAAAAATTCACTGATACCAACATCCGATACCAGTTGATACCAAGTGACGTAAGATGAGTCTACACTGCTGCGCTAATGAACAGTTGACTCAAGCTGGCAGTGAAGGAGGCTCTGCTCACACAGAGAAGCGTTAGAATGCAGCAGCGGCAGCTGGACGCAAAGTCGTTGATCACTTTAAATGTTCTGCTTTGACAGATTCCCGACAGGAATACACTGTGTGATTTTAATCCGTTTTTAAACACATACAAACACAATCATAACCACTTCCCCAACACAGGTGGAGACAAGTAGGCTAACAAAACGGAGGTGAAAAAGTTGACATTTCCTACCAAAGTCCTTATATGCCGACTTTACTCTGTTTGACTGAACAGAATAGTGAGCTATAACACTAATTTCCTTAACAGTCTTTGTAAAACAGGCTGTAGAGAGACTATACTGTCCTACTGTGTATGTCTCAGTGCAGTTTGGTTAGCCGAGCTGCTGTAGCTCAGCTTCTCAGTGTGTTTGCTCAGTACTCGGTGCGCAGCATGTTGTTTTGAATGAAACAACTTTATTGGAAATTGTTCATAGATCCGTCTGTAGAGGCTGTGTTTCACATAGCATGGACCGAGCGTTTTCGCACAGTGTGAGTATATAAATCGTAGGCTTTTTCTGTACTCAACGGAATATTCAAACTTCTAACATCACATAGTGTCTGTCTGGCTTTAGAGGACATTCAGTTACATCTCAACCAGCCAATCAAAATACTTCAGAAGTAAAACCCCACAAATGAGCTTCTTGGGTATGTTAGCTTTGGATGTGATTCCTGCTGTTGCTGTTAGCACTATGCTAATTGGTGTACATTAGCTTTTATTACTTGTTAGCTACATTTGCCTCGTAGCTCCAACACTAAAATTAACGAAGCAAACTTTAGTCACCAAACACATCTTGACTGATCCACTACATTTGAGGTAAGCAAGGAAAATTAGTGAATTATTATCGCTTTAAGGAGATTACACACTTGGACAGTGCTGTAGAAGCAAATTAAAATCACCCGCTTTTACTTACTGTGTAAGAAAGAACTCCATTCACATGAGACCGAGCCAGACTGAAGCCCACCTGCACAGAACACACAACCACAGTATTAACTTAGACAGTACACACACATACATTCAGTTGTATGCAAAAGTCTGAGCACCCCCTGTCTAATGACATGTGTTGTCACATCCTCTACAGGGACACACTTTTAAATTCTTATTTATATTTGCTTTATGTAAGTTTGTTGTTGATTAAAACTGAAAGAAGTAGCATAACTGAGTGTGGAGAATAAAAATAAGGTAAAATATGGTGAGCATGTGCTGCTGCCAGTCGCCCCATAATAACCATTTAAAAGTCAGAGGCGTCGAGTTTTTTGCACCACGTCGTGCATCTTTATGTATTAACATCACAGGCACAGGCTCAAAAAGAAGGTGCAGCTCAATGTTTAGGTCTCAAATGATCTTAAAATCAACATCATACTGATGAAGATGTGATGACAATAGTAGGTAATTCACCCACATCCTCAGAAGACGCTCCTTCACCAAGTTTAGACTGAGTTCTCTTTAAATTTTCTTTCACTCATCAGATTCATCCGCTCGAGGAAAGGGGCTGAAGCACAACCCACGTTACAAAACGTTCTTCCACATGTTGCATGCAATTACACATTTCCACCAGAGAGGTCTCCAAATCCCTGAATATTACATAGTGTAGCTTTAATTTAACATATTGGTGAAAAAACTAAATTACAAAATATTACATAAATTCTGCACGTGCCACATTTTATATTTGAGTTTTTTCTCCAATGAATTGCAATAATTCAGCAAATAAACAGTAACTGAGCATTAAAATGTGCATAAAATGTGTTTTTTGTCAACAAAACGTCACTTAAGCAGGATGCACAAACGTTTGCACAATGTTCTATTTATTTAATGTTGCATTAATCATAAAATTAATTAAAGACTCTTTTCTGAAAACATTTCAAAAACATTATGCTGCACACAATCATGTATAGAGTCAAGGTTACAACTCACAGCATTGGTGGCAAAGTTGGTCTTGCTGGTTTGGGGAAGATAGAGGGACATCAGGTTGACCTCCAGAGTTCCATTGGCGAAGTAACCAAAGGTGTTCAGGTGAACGACAGAACGGGTTTCATTCTGAGAGAGAAAGTGATAGAAAAGGTGAATATTTGGAGACAGAGATCAGCATCAGCTGTAAAACTGACATCCTTCACCCACTGGTTAGAAGACTCTCAAAACACAAGACTGTGAGGGACCTTTACTATGTTCATATAAGAAGCCTTCACATTAGTGGATAAATCAACCAAGCAGGTCCACGAAAAGGTCAAAGTAGCACTGACCCTCCCATCTAGACCACAAATCAGTACCATCACAGGCAACTACAGGCCTTTAGAACACCAGCATTTCTTCTGAATACATATATATATATATATATTCAGTTTGATGGAGAATGTGTTGTACATGTTTCTATATAGCACCTTTTTGAAAAGGGTTCAATAGCAGAACCATATTGGTGCTACAGATTCCATATAGAACCATATACAACACATTGTCTATCAAACTGAAGAACCGTTTCACCATGCAAAGAACCATTTAAGCATGAAATGGTTCTATGTATAACTTATGGTTCTAAACAGAATAATTGCCTTTAATAAAGAACCCTTGAAGAACCATCTTTTTGAAGAGTGTAAAGACGGACGAAAGCGGCCCAGCCCCTCTCTACCTAATGGCAATGGTCAAACCTTGAACTGTACCTCGAGCCCTCCGAGCTGCAAGTACAGCTCGGCTCGATTTGCCATCCTTCAAGACGCGTGGAAGACAAGCAGCAAGACTCTTCTCTGTCCTGGAGTCCAGGTGGTGGAATGAGTCTCTCGCGGTCTCCAAACGCAGACTGAAGTCTCTTTATACAGCACTTAAGTGAGCACTGATTTTAGTATTTACTGTAATGTATTGTGCTGCACTTATTAAAATGTATTGCACTGCGCTGTGTTTGACTCTGTTTCTTTTTCTCTCTGTATCAACATGGGCTTTTGTTCCTAGCAGTATCTGAGCTCAGGCTTTCTCTCTAACCTAACTAACAAAGATACTTTCTCTAGACAGACAAAGCACTTTATGTAAGTCGCTCTGGATAAAAGCGTTTGCTAAATGTTGTAAATGTAAAGAAATATGTAGGATATAGGCCCTTTATGGACATATGTATGGACATTTAACAGGTTTAAAAGATCTGCTTGAAGTCAGGAAGAGTGCCTTTATGCGCACAAGGATAGAGCATTTTTACCTTAATGGCCTGTAGAAACGTTTGAGGTGTGAAAAACGTGAAAAAACATGAAGTTTCACACGAAATAAGTGAAGTTTGGAGCCACTTCAGTACAGAAACGAAGCTCAGACACGGAGAAAAGCAGCAGGGGGAGAATTAAAGCATCTCCAGATGTAAATAAATCACACTTCGCTCATGTTATTACATTGTTATGACTGTTACGGCTGTTATTAATGTTGTGTGCACTTACGCTGAGGGACAGTCGATGTATTCTCGCCTCGTTTAAAGTCAGGAGAAGCGGCAGCAGCAGCAGAGTTAAACAGGCCATATCGGAGGAGGTACGGCTGGAAAACCTGCTGCCTCAGCGGCGGATTAATAAAGCTGTTATTAAATTATTAATATTAATATTCACCTCCCGCTCTGCTGTCACTCTGCCTGTCTTTGCAACTCACTCACTTCCTGATCCGCTGACTGTTTACACAGCTTTTACTGCTCCCCGGTGGTCGGAGGGGGGGAAATACACCCTGTTACAAGGTCAAAGTACAATTCATTTATACAGCACTGTTTACAGCATGCATTGTCGCAAAGCAGCTTTACAGAAATATCGAGGTCCGACCCCCCATGAGCGAGACAAGGCCGACAGTGCCAAGAAAAACTTGCTAAGAGCAAGAGGAAGAAACCTTGAGAACCTCAAAAGGGGAACCTCAAAAGGGGAACCCATCCTCCTCTGTTTGACAGTGGACAGCAAAACAATAACAAGAGAAATATGAACAGAGAATAATTAATATATTAGTTGCCTTAATTACATTAAGTGGAACACTGAATATAGAGAAAAGAAAAAAACAAACCAGCCTGTTACAGGACAGAGCTATTTAGAATAACCAATAATAACAGATGACTGTTCGAGGCTTAACAGAGTAATAAAGAACAGATAAATGAACATCAGTCACTGTTACCAGACATTTAACTAAAGGACAATTAAAATATAACTACAATAAAGAGAATAGAAAAGACTAATGTGAAAGGAGTTAAAGGGAAGTGTGAATTATACATTATTATACATAATTATTATAGTTTACTACAGGACACTTCACGTGTATTATAGATTACTATAAGAGCATGACAGGAATATTATACAGAGGAGAAAATACTATACATTATTATAGATAATTACTATAGTTTACTACAGGACGCTGAACCAGTATTATAGATTACTATGAGAGCTCTACAGGAATATTATACAGAGAAAATGTTATACATTATTATAGATAATTACTATAGTTTACTACAGGACACTACAGATCAAATCAAATCAAATCAAATTTATTTGTGTAGCACTTTTTACAACTGATGTTGTCACAAAGCAGCTTCACAGAAATCCGTTTAGAACAAAGTTTCAACATGAACTGTAAATCCTCCAGGTGAGCAAGCCAGGAAAAACTCCCTCAGAGCTGAGGAAGAAACCTTGGGAGGAACCAAGGCTCACATGGGGGGACCCATCCTCCTCTGGTCAAACTACGTACAAAATTATTATTCTACTAATATTAATAGTAGTAGTAGTAATAGTTAGGAGGTAGTAATAGTTAGAGAACTGAGACTTCAGTGTCGGGTGGGCAGCCAGTCCAAGGCAGGTGGTGGTGACTGGGTTGTGGGTAACTGGTCTGAAGCGGGTAGCCGGAGAGCTCTACAAACAATCATCCAGCAGTGTCCGGCCGGACAGGTGGGCAGTCGTTTTCTCGGAAGAAAGGTAGGGAAATGGAGTTAGTTTAGTTCTGTATGGGTGTATGTATAGTAGTATGTAAAACATTTCCAGAGTGTGGCTCACGACTCCGGCAGATCTGACTATAACAGCTTAACTAAAAGGAGAGAACCAAAAGGACACACAGACACGGGAGCACCCTGAAACAATCTGGCATCCCTCCACAGAACCTCTGTTTTGTTACTGTTTAGGAGGAGGAAGTTGCGCGACATCCAACCTTTCACATCTTTTACACAGTCCTCTATTTTCTTTAGCCTGTATTTGTCATCAGGCTTGGCTGATATGTATAATTGCGTATCGTCTGCGTAACAGTGAAAGTTAATGCCATGGCTACTTATAACTGTGCCTAACGGTAACATGTATAATGTAAATAATAATGGTCCTAAAATAGAGCCTTGCGGAATTCCAGATCTTACTTGTGAATAATTGGAAGATAAGTCATTTACCTTTACGAACTGATAACGTTCTGTTAAGTAAGAGTTGAACCACGATAGGGCGGTCCCTGTGATTCCAACCATGTTTTCTAACCTTTCTAGGAGAATATTGTGGTCTATCGTATCGAAAGCTGCGCTGAGGTCAAGTAGCACTAACAGGGATATGTAGCCTTGATCAGAAGCAAGAAGAAGATCATTTGTTATCTTAACTAGAACTGTCTCAGTGCTGTGATGTGGCCTGAATCCAGATTGGAATTTCTCAAATATGTAGTTCTTATGTAGATATGAACTAAGTTGTTGGGCTACAGCTTTTTCTAAGATCTTAGATATAAATGGTCGTTTAGAAATAGGCCTGTAATTAGACAATACGCAGCGTCAAGGTTTGGTTTCTTGATCAGAGGCTTAATAACTGCTAGTTTAAAGGCTCTGGGTACATGGCCCAGGCTAAGGGACGAGTTTACTATAGTTAAAAGAGGATTAATGATAACTGGTAGTACTTCTTTGAGTAATTTTGAGGGGATTGCATCAAGTGTGCAGGTTGTACAATTTGCAGAGGAGATAATCTTCTCTAGTTCTAGCTGTGGGAGTGGGTAGAAATTTTCAAGCCTTTCTTCTGCAGCTATGTTATGTTTTATATCAGCCATGTCAGATGACAGCCAAGTTGGATTTAATACTGTGGGTTGAATTTGTTGTCTAATATTTTCGATTTTATTATTAAAAATGTCCATAAAAACTTCACTGGTGAGGGTCGCCGGAATTTGTGGTTCAGTACCTGCCTGACAGCAGTATTATAGATTACTATAAGAGCTCTACAGGAATATTATACAGAGAAAATATTATACATTATTATAGATAATTACTATGGTTTACTACAGGACACTATACCAGAATTATAGATTACTATAAGAGCTCTACAGGAATATTATACAGATGAGAAAATATCATACATTATTGTAGACAGTCCAGTCACTTCTGCATTTGGGAGCATAAATAGTAGCATTAAATGACTTCCAGTTGCATTGTAAAAAACAGGCTGAGACTACTTTCCAAAATCATAGCTACATTCTTAAATACATCAATAATCGAGACTGATCGATCAAGTTGAAAAATGTTCACTGTCCAAGAAGAAGCATGGCCCGTCGTGTCACTTTTAATGAGGTAATCAATCAAACTTTAATCAGAATTTGCATAGCTGGCCTTATTTATTTTAATCAGACATATCTAAAGCACAAAAGTTCCTTACAGTAAAGCACAGAGGAGTTTCCTCATCCTTGGAGAGTTTGTGGTAACTGGTGTTCTTGCTCTAATTGACGTCTGCATAATCTAACTAGATCATGTCATCTTGAGCTTTTCACACTAAGGTACAGCTTGTGTGGGTGAAATAAAGGCCACCACTGTGGAAATTCGATTACCATCAGTTCTTTGCACTGAAGTCTGGAGACAGATTCTGATCAGTGCGAACACTAAAGCATTCTGATGTACAGTGTTGTAGTACCCAAGTTCAGACTCAAACTCAATTAATGGTCTCAGTCTTGTCTCGGTCTCAAAATCATTTGGACTCGGATCAATTGGGGTCTTTGTCTTTGTCTCCACATAATTGTGACTTGGTCTGGTCTTGGCTTCAATATCATTTAGTCCTGGTCTTGTCTCAATCTCAACATCATTTGATCTCAGTCTTGTCTCTGTCTTGCCATCATTTAGGCTACGTTCACACAGCAGGTAAAAATGGCCAAATTTCACCAAATTTTTTTCCTTGGCTGTTCACATTATCTTTTAAATGTGACCTGTATGCAACATCAGTCTGAACAGATCAACTCAGAAACTGACCCAACAATGCTTCACGTTGCTCATCCAGTGCTTTGTCAGTTACTCATCACACAGAATGTGTTGGAGCTCACCGTAAAAAGGGCTCGGTCACTTCTTTGGTTCGTGTCCTCAGATTTTTTAAATCTTGCTTTCAGACTTTTAACTGTCCTTTGACACTGCAGCCTTGTTATCCTCCGGCCGCGTTCAGCTATATCCTTCTAATTCTCTTCAAACATGGAGGGATTTGGATATGTGCCTAATGTTTTAGTACAGAAACATCAGCCTAAATGTTTAGGAGTCTCAGCAGCACAAAATGATGACGAATGTCGAGTTGAATTGACATAAAAGTTGCATGAATTCTGATCTGGCTGTTCAGACCGAGTCACATTACTGCATATCAGATACATACCGGATTTCAGTACCACATATGAAAACGAAGAAAACGCAAGTGTTCCTGTCAGTCTGTACATCACTGGGACTGAGGCTTGTTTTGGTATCAACAGAAATTAGCATTGATTGCATCTCATTTATGGCATTTGGCAGACGCTCTTATCCAGAGCAACTTACAATTTGGTCATTTTACACAGGTAGGTGAAGGTAGTGTTAGGAGTCGTGTACGTTTCCACTGTTCATAAATCAATAAAAATGAATTAGTTAACCCTCTCTCATTAACAGATATTTTAATATAGCATGCAAACTATCACATATCTTCACATTTCAACTTATTGAAAAGGTCAGCCTTTTTCCCTTGGCTGGCTTTATATATATTTTATATATATTTTAATGAGATGTATCTAATAGATAAGAGTTCCTTACAGGTAAACAGAAAAGTTTCCTCATACTTGGAGAGCTTGTGCTTTCCGGAACTGATAATTTAAATAGATCATCTTGAGCTTTTCATACCAAGGCACAGTTTATGTGGAATGGGATGACAAACAACAGCACTATGGAAACTTACTTGAGTTACTAGAGTACAAGTAACATGTATAGACAGTAATCAGATTACAGGTACATTATAAAAACAGGGTGATTACCTGCAGGAGTAAAATAAAACCCGCCTACAGAACAAAAAAAAATCATAGAAACTAGGGATACATCAATAATGATACTGGTTCAGACCTACAGTGTGTGATTTTAGACCCTATACGGGTGGAGACTTGTAGGTCAGCTAAACATGGCAAAAAACTTTTTGCTACCCAAGTCCTTAGTTACATATCGACTTTACTCTGTCTGACTGAATAGAATTACAAAGTATAATACAGTATTTCTTTTTTTTTTAAAAAACAGGCTGTAGCGAGACCATGCGGTCCTAAAGTGCACATCACTGCCTGCTTTAGCATCACTGCACAGTGTTAGCAGTGCTGCTGGAATCAGTACTCTGCACGTAGGATATAATTCTGAATGAAACAGCTTTATTTAAAATTGTTAATAGACAGAACTGTCTGTAGAAAATTGTTATAGTTTATTACACAATAGAACAGTAAAAAAATAACCTCAAATAAAATAATTGCAATAAAATAGTCAGGTAAATTAAATAAAAAAAAATAATAAAAAATACTAATAAAACTAGAAAGGGGAAGTTTGTGAACGAACTTTAAGTTGGCTTGAAAAAGCCAG